GCCCAGACTGGCCTCAAACTTGTGGCAATCCTTCTGCCTCAGCCTCTTGACCTTGGGATCATAGGCATGCACCTCATGTCCATCTAAAAGCAGCAGGTTTGAGGAGAGGTAGGGTGTGGGGGCAGAATTCCTGGTGCTAAGCGCTGGTCTGAATCTACAGATTTAGGAGACATTGGTAAATTGCTGGTGACAGAAGGTGAGGGGCACATGGTTTTAAACCTGGGGCTGAGAAGAGCTGAGGAGCAGAGATGTCCCAAGACATGGCCAGGTTGTGTCCTGCATTTGTAATGGCACTCAGTTGCTTGTCTGCTGACTGTCCCAAAGCTGCAGGGTGCCACCTATGGAGGATGGTTATGGGACTGATCATGTGTCCTGGAAATAGCCTTTCCCCTCCAAAGTGCAAGTCACACCCAGGAAGGCAAGAAGGCCTGCTCTCCTGTGTGCTGCAGGAGTGTGCATTCCCAGTGTCTCCATTTGTCTCCTCACAGGCACAAGAGGAGGCTCGGCGGAACCGGTTGATGAGGGACATGGCACAGCTGCGGCTACAGGTAGGAACAGGCCAGGTGAGCCTGTTCTTGGGTGGCTTTTGCTGGACCTTCCTTGTCATGGTGCTCACCCTGCTTGGTGCCCCTGAGTCCCTGTCTGCTCCTAATCAGACTGGCCTCACGGTATTGCTGTTCTGTATAGCCTGTATGTCTTTATTTCTCTTCTTTCCCTACACCTTTACTTCTGTCCACTTTTCCTTCATGGTTCCCCATAGCAGCAAGAAGAGCCACGTAAGGGCCATCTTGCTCCTGGCTCCTGGCTCCTCTTATCATCCTGTCTAGGAAGCTTAGGACTCCTGCAGCCACCTTTTCTGCCTTCTCTCACAGCTCGAAGTTTCTCAGTTGGAAGGCAGCCTGCAACAGCCCAAGGCTCAGTCAGCTATGTCTCCCTACCTCGTCCCTGATACCCAGGCCCTCTGCCACCATCTCCCTGTCATCCGCCAGTTGGCCACCAGTGGCCGCTTCATCATTATCATCCCAAGGACAGGTAGGCTTACTGAGTATAGGACAGATAGAGGGTGGCTAAAAGAGGCTCTGGGCTTGGGATTGAGAAACCCTTTTTTGCGGTTCGCCTGTTAGCCAGGTATACTTGGGAATGCGTGTAAGCTCATCTATTTGGGAGGTTGAGGCAGGAGGATTTCTGGTTTTTTGTTTTTTTGGTTTTTTGTTTTTCATCTTTTTTGAGACAGGGTCTCGCTATGCAGTTCAGGCTGGCCTTGAGTACACTTTGTAGCCCAGGCTGGTCTCGAACTTGAAACGATCCTCCTGCCTCAGCCTCCCAAGTGCTGGACTAGGCAGGAGGATTTCAAGTTTAAGGCTAGCCCAGATAACTGTTTCAAAAGACTTCGGGACAAGCTTAGTGATGGAGCTCTTGCCTAGCAGACAAAGGGGCAAGTTCAGTCCCCAATACTACATATAACACACACACATATACAGTATACTCACAGTACACATATGAGTGACCTTGGTCAGATTCTGTCAGCTCTTTGGTTTTTTTTTTTGTCTTTTTCCTTTTTATCGGTACCGGGGATCGAATTCACCACTGCCTGCTTGCAAGGCAGGTGCTTATGCCGCTGAGCTAAACCCCCAGCCCCCTCTGTCAGCTCTTTGAACCCAGTCACTTCATCTGTGAATTGGGCATGACAGTCCCCATTAAATCTTGCCACACAAGAGGGCCTGCTTGGCAACCATGAGGTCGAGTTTGATTCCCAGTACTCCTCTTCCCCCGCCAAAATCAAAACAAAACAAAAAAACTTGCCACACGAAACTGGGAGACATGGAGAGGTTGATCTGAGCACCCAGGAATTGCCTGGCACAATGTGGTAGAAGGCACAGGGCACTTGGGAGACTTGGAGGGGCAATGGTCTCTTCTCCCAGTGGTGTCCATGGTGGGCACTGATGCTTGCTTCAGAGCAGGGTCAGCTGTCCAAACTACGCTGTTCTGTGCTGCAGTGATCGATGGTCTGGATTTGCTGAAGAAGGAGCATGCAGGGGCCCGGGATGGGATCCGTTACCTGGAGGCAGAGTTTAAAAAAGGAAATAGGTGAGTGCAGCCACCAGGCCCTCCTGGAGCCGTGTTCTGCTGTGTACACAGCACCTGCTTTCATGCTTCTTGCTCTCTGTGTAGAAGAAGTGAGCTTCCGCCCTGCTCACACTTTGCACACAGCATAAGGAGCAGCACCAAAGCCGTCACTAGAACTCAGGTCCTATCTGCTAAAGCCCAGGCAAGAGCCATGTGTTCTTAGCTGGGGCCCCTTGTGAGGATTCCTGCAGCAGGGTTGGGGTAGGGTCACGTTTCCAGGCTGAGAGTAAGCTGAGGCAGCCTGGTAGAGCAAGTGTCAGTTGCTCAGGCCATCCTCCTGAGGAGGAGTGGGGCCAGAGGAAGAGTGGGCAAGTTGCAGGGAGAAGAGAGTCCCCCTCTGCTGGCCAGCCCACCCCTCCTCTGGCCAGGCCACACAGTGGGGAAGTTATACAAGGCCAGCTTGTTGGACCTTGTCCTTAGAAACATTGACTTGAAAAGCTTCTGCTGTTGCGCTTCCAGCTTCTCCCCTGGGAGGAACTAGAGAATTGATGGTATCAGAGGAAAGCACACTGAGCTCAGCAGCCAGGAAGCCACTTGGAAATAGTTCCACACAGTCTGATGAAAGAGACCCCAACGCCTCCTGCATACCTGGCCCCAAAGTCACAGTGGCTGGCAGTGGCTTCCCACTCCCACTGTACTTGACTCTGCATCTCCTTTCCAGGTACATTCGTTGCCAGAAAGAAGTAGGGAAGAGCTTTGAACGGCATAAGCTGAAGAGACAGGATGCAGATGCCTGGTAACATTTTACTCTTCACCCCAGAGCCTCCCATCAGGAGCTGGCATCCCCTAGGCAGCAGGACAAGGTTGTTTTAGCCTGAAAGCACTTTCTTCCTCTGCTTGGAGATGTTTGTGCTCTTGTTTGGGCACACTGGCCTACTTCCCTTGCGCATCCTCCCAGGCCAGTTTCCAGAGCCCACTGCTGCTGGCTGCCTGGTTTCTCTTGATGTCTGCTGGTACCTTCCAAGTCCTCACCCTCCCCTGGATCCTGTGAACCCTCCCCTCTTCGGGCTGTGCTAATGCTGGGTATTGTGCATCTCTCCCACACCAGGACTCTCTATAAGATCCTGGATAGCTGCAAACAGCTGACTTTGGCCCAGGGGACAGGGGAGGAGGACCCAAGTGGTATGGTGACCATCATCACAGGCCTTCCACTGGACAACCCCAGTGCACTCTCAGGGCCCATGCAGGTAAGTCAGGGCAAGGTCTCTGGGAATGGGTGGACCACAGGGAAAAGGCACCAGAGTGGCACCCAGCCCATGACCTCCAGAGTGCTGCCTTTTCTTTTTTTTTTTTTTCTTTTTTTTTTTTTTTTGTCTTTTTCATTTGTATCGGTACTGGGCATTGAACTCACGACCGCCTGCTTGCAAGGCAGGTGCTTATGCCGCTGAGCTAAATCCCCAGCCCCTGAGAGCTGCCTTTCATCCCCACCCTTCCCCAACCCCAGTGACCTGTCTCACAGTTCAGATTGGCCCCCTGCCATCTTTCCTGCTATCCATAGGCAGCCCTGCAGGCCGCTGCTCATGCCAGCGTGGACATCAAGAATGTTCTGGACTTCTACAAGCAATGGAAGGAGATTGGCTGAGACTGACCTCAGGCCCTGCAGTAGGGCAGACTCCAGATCTCTCCTGCTCTCCCTGGCAGCCAGGACCACCACCTGTAGTCACCCCACCACATGCAGACTCAGTGCACACAGAAAGGAAATCCAGCTGCCACGAGGCTGGAGGCTGGAGAGGGCCCCAGAGCCAGCTGGGAGGGTGGGGCTCCCCCTGTTGCCAAGGTGATAGCAAGAAAACTAGGGAAGTGCTTGGAGCAGGAGAGGACTGTGGGCCCCCAGCCAGTCCTCCCTGCTGACCCTCTGGCTGTCCCGAGGCAGGTGGCAGGCACAGATGTTTGAATTTCATGGCAGTGGTCACTGGACCTCTGGGGATGGGACAGCAGAAAGGGCCTTCATCCTTACCCAAGGCACAGGGTAGTTGGGGTCAAGAGTTGGATCCTCCAGGCCCTGGGAGAAGAGTTGGGTGATATCAGGGGTCTGGATAGCTCTGCAGATCTTTCCTCCTCTCACCTCCCTTTGGGGGACCAGGCAGCTCTGGAGTTAGCTGGGGCTCTAAGGAAACGGGGCCCAAGTGGCCTATACCACACAACAGGGGCCACACTGCCCCCCTGCCTCTAGTTGCCTCAGACTGCAAGCAGCATGGCCTGTGTGCCCCTGTGGTGCCTGTGCCCCACTCCCACAGCTGCTGTGCTGTGTTCATAGCTGCTATGATAAGCAGTGGGGGCACAAATAAGAAAAGAGTGGGGCACAGGCTGTGACTACCCCCTTCCTGTCTTGGCAGACCTGAAGACAAGGGGCCATATTCGGTAAACACAGAAAGGAAAGGCCTGCTGTCCTAATGGGCTCCCCTCCTTTTGCCCTTCCCCAGGATAAAAGGTCCTGGGTGTTGAGCCTGGTGTGGGAGCAGAGATCATGAGTAGCTCAGGGTAGTGAAGCAGGCACAGGGAACAGCAGGCAAGGCTGGGGTGGGCCAGGTCCTGCTGCCCAGTGCCAGCCGTGCTTCCCAGGCTGTGCTAAGAGGGGAACCGGCTTCCTGCCCACTTCCTATAAGACAATGTGTCTAGAGAAGCTGGGGTAATGGGGTCACCCCAGTTCCTGGCAGAGACTGAGACAAAAGCATCATTAAATAAAGACCCCCCAAGTCTCCCTGTCTCCTGGTGCTGTCTGTGCAGGGGTGGGGAGAGCAAGAGCTCTGGGCCCTGGAAGCCATCCAGAGCCTGCCTGCAAGGCTATTTCAGTGAACCTCAGGCTAACCCAAAGGCAAGCAGCTGGGAGTCCTCTCCACACTCTGGTGCTAATATGTACAAGGCCTAGTTGGGCAACTGCTACTCTGAGGATTTGGAGCCCTCTGCTCAGCCTCCTGTGGAAGAACTTGAGGTGCCTCTGGTCAGCAGGTTGCACTGTGCCTCACCCCAGCTGTGGCCCAACTTGGGCCCTCCATGCCATGCCAGCCTGAGCCAGTGCCTGGTGAGGCTAGGTCAGGCAAGGCCCTGGCCTCACACCGTCCGAGTGAGCTGCCTGCTAATGGGACTGGGCCACCCTGTGCTGCTCCCTAGAGGCTGGACAAGGCGAGAATTGTTCCCGACTGCCCTTTGTCTTCCCCACTCCCCGCCCAGGCCTGGCCCTCCTTGCCACTGTGCTCTGTCTGCCCAGCTCTGATCCCGGTCAAGCTTGGGGTAAGGACACACTCCTTGGGCTCTGTGACTCCTCCTAAGGTAAAGCTCTTATTTAGGTTCCCATGCACACACCACACCCCACTGTCCGACAGAAATCTCCAAAGTTGAGGGGAGGGATATCCCAGCTGCTTCTGTCTCCCAGATAGCTGGGCAGCACTTGGGATAGTACTCTGAGAGGCTCTTACATTCACATGGAGCACAGTTTTGCCTTGTGCCCCAGCTCTGAGGCAGAGTCCCTAATCCTGAATGGCAGGGAGCTGAGTGAAGACGCGGAAGAGGGACCTGCCCAAGGCAGAGATTCAGAGTCATCACTGCGCAAGCTGGAGGACCAAACGGGCTGGCGGCAGGAAGGGGTGGGGCTGGCCTTGGAGTCATTGGAAAGTTTTGGCCTGGGGAGGGGGCGTGTTCTTTCGCTCCAGCAGTGCCACCCACCTCACTTGGTCCAGCCCCTCGGCGGGTGCCAAGGAATGTGCCGGGAGCGGGGCGAGCGGGCGGGGCAGCAGAGCCGCGCCACCAGGAGAGAGGCAGCACGCAGGTCTGAGTTGGGGGCGCGGGCTCAGGAGGGGCAGCGACCTCGGCCTTGGCCTCGAGCGCTCCCAGGGGTACAAGTGTAGGCCCTCGGAGAAGGGCCAGGTATTCCCCTGCCTCGCCCCGATTCCTTGCCCTACTGGCTGGCATCCTGCTTCTTCAGGAATTTTCTCCAAGGGCAAGAGTTTTCGGAGCAAGGCGCAGAGCTGCTGGCCAGCAAGCCTTCTACTGGGGTGGGTGCTCCGCCTGCTGTATTGCCTCAGGGAGCAGAGCTGTCTCCGTCAGAGACAGGACGGGGTTGGCTGAGCCTGTCTCTGGACTGATGTCCTAACTAGGACTCTGGGAGGTCTTGGGGAACTGAGGATAGCTGCCATTCCACGCAGAGTGCCCATCCCGGGCCCAGTAACCAAGTCTTTCCCGAAGCTGTGCAACCAAGGGGTCTCTGGATTGGGCCAGTGCCTGATGTTGCTCCATCTGATTCCAGGTCAACGTGGTTTCCAGGCCACCATGCTCAGTCTCAAGCTGCCCCAACTCCTCCAGGTCCATCAGATTCCCCGGGTGAGGGCTCAAATCACCACCCTGCTCCCCTGGGGCGGCTGCAGCAGAGCGTCTTCTAGCTCTGGTGCCGATTCCTCCTGTGCCAGCAGTAACTTCCTCTGTGCTTGGAAGATCAAGTGTGCCCCCCACCCTGGGCTCATCCAGGCTCCCTTTCCTGAGGTCTTTGGGTACAGTCTCCTCTTCACTCATCTTGCTCTGTGGGTGATGACAGGGATTGGACTGAGATTGGCTGGGACCACTATGTTGTTGGCACAAATACCTTGGGGTGATTTCCAGAGATCTCTCCCGAAGGGAGCCTCTGGTGATGCCCCTCTGCCCCACTGTCTCAGGTGTTCTGGGAAGATGGTATCATGTCTGGCTACCGCCACCCTACCAGCTCAGCCTTGGACTGTGTGCTCAGCTCCTTCCAGATGACCAACGAGACAGTCAACATCTGGACACACTTCCTGCCCACCTGGTGAGCACAGGCCCGGAGGGCAGTGGGTGCAGGAGGGCAGTGGGGTCTCCACTGAGCCCTCTGTCCCTCTCAGGTACTTCCTGTGGCGGCTGATGGCCCTGGCGGAGGGCCCAGGTGGTGCAGAACCTTACCGCCGGCCGCTGCTTGTCTTTCTGCTGCCCACCTGCCTCTACCCCTTCACGTCGTGCTGCGCGCACATCTTCAGCTCCATGTCACCTCGCGCGCGGCATATCTGCTACTTCCTGGACTACGGTGCGCTCAGCCTCTACAGCCTGGGTGAGCCATGCACAGGTGGCCGTGGGAGCAAGGGAAGGTGGGAAGGAGGAGCCTCCCCCCACACAGCCTCAGACCCTGCCTCCCACAGGCTGCGCTTTCCCCTACGCTGCCTACTCCATGCCAGCCTCCTGGCTGCACAGTCCCCTGCACCAGTTCTTTGTGCCTGCCGCCGCGATCAACTCCTTCCTGTGTACCAGCCTCTCCTGCTACTCCCGGTGGGTTCTCAGTCTCCTCAGTGGGCTCAGAAGGCAGGGCACAGGGACAAGAGAACCTCTGCCCTGCCCCCAACATCAGTCACTGCTGGTTATTAAGGACTTACTGTAGTACCCTGTAGCCGAGTACCTTCCCCATGCTGTCTTTTTTTCTTTCTTTCCCCTTTTGCTGAATTGGGCATTACACCCAAGGCTTTTGCACTGAATTACAGTCCTAGTCCTTTTACGTGTGAGATGTAGTCTACTAAGTCTAAATTGCCCAATCTGGGTTTGAACTCAGGATTTTCCTGCCTCAGCCTTCCAAGTGCTAGAATGTGTGCCATCATGCCCAGCTGCTTACTCCTTTAACTCTCACAGCCTCTTGACCATTTACAGAGAGGGTTATGTGACCTAAGGGCTTTCTTAGCCAATATGTTCCATTTTGGCCCAAGGCCCCATTGCCCTGCTTACCCCTAGCCAAGCCAGGCATCGTGACCAGCCTGTCTGTATTGCATCGTAGGTTCCCAGAGCTGGAAAGCCCTGGGCTCAGTAAGGTCCTGCGCACAGCTGCCTTCGCCTATCCCTTCCTGTTCGACAACCTCCCACTCTTCTACCGGGTAAGAGTGTTTAGGGCTCCAAGACTGGTGAGTCCCCAACCTCAGCCCTCTGCCTACTCTTCAGGTCCAGCATCTGCCCCAATAGTATTGCCCAGCTCTACATCTTCTGTTCCACTCTTCAATACCTTCTCCCAGCCCTGCTTTTCCTTTGCCAGCTCGGGCTGTGCTGGGGCAGAACCTACAGCTGTGAGCAAGAGGCGCTGAGCTCCAGCCATGGCTACCACCTCCTGTGCGCACTGCTCACTGGCTTCCTCTTCGCCTCCCACCTGCCGGAGCGGCTGGCCCCTGGACGCTTTGACTACATTGGTGAGAGTACACCCAGCCTTGTCTGGGAAGGGCTTGGTAAATGGGGTTCCCTGGCTGAGGGTGGGAGCAAAGGACAGAAAGAACTAGCTGTTTTTCCTCAGGCCCCACCTCCTCTCCACTTCTATGTGACAGCAAAACTAGTGGCAGGTGTGCTGGGGGCTTTATGCAGATCAGATCAGCCACTCTCTCTACCAACTCTGGACATAGTAAGCCCAGATGATGTGACTTGCCCTGAGTGACCATGAGTCAGGGCAAGCCTCAGAATGGGCATGTGCCCTGACCTGCCCTCTGCCTTGCAGGCCACAGCCACCAGCTATTCCACATCTGTGCCGTCCTGGGTACCCACTTCCAGCTGGAGGCGGTGCTATCTGATATGGGATCGCGCCAAGCCTGGCTGGCCATGCAGGAGCCACCTCTGGGCCTTCAGGGCACCGTGGCCACATTGGGCCTGGCTGTGATTGGGAACCTGCTTATCATTGCCGCCTTTACAACCTCCCTGCTTCGGGCCCCTGGAACGTGCCCTTTGCTGCAAGGTGGCCTACCAGAAGGGGGGTCCCAGGCTAAAAAACAGTAAAGCCCCTTCTGTCCCCAGCTGGAAGGCAGCAGAGGCTGGCTGGGATCCAAGGTGGGAGCACAGCAGAGCCTGGAACAACAGTGGCTGATGAGGGGCAGGGAGAGGACACAGAGAGGAGGGACATCTAGGGCATTGGTAGAGTGATGGAGACTGGGGGGGGGGGCATTGTGGGCATAGGGATGTGCTGAGGGTTTGTGAGGGGAGATGTGGGTATCCAGGGCAGGATGGGGTGTCAGGCCTTCATCTGGCCCTGTTGATAGTACTCCTGAAGTCTGCTCAGCCTGGGAGGACCTGACCTGACTAATCTAGGCCCAGTTCGCATTAACCAGGCCCAGAGGCCACCTTCTGCCTCCACCAGAAGCAAGTGGTACCTGGGATGCAAGCAGCTGTTTTGTGACAGAGACTGTGTCCTCAAGGTGTCCAGACCTTAGGTGCTGGATGGTTTGGATGGAATGCAGGTGGAGAAGGGTATGGGGCCCAAGGGGGAACCCTAGACTTTAGGAAGCCAGCTTCAATGCTTTCTGGAACAGAGCAGATACACTGAATAAACTGGACTTGGAAACACTTTCTGTGACTGAAGAAGGTAGATGCTCTTCTCCCTATCAGCTGAACCTTCCCTCTTTCCTTCCCAACTCCGCATACTAGACAGACTCAGGTTACTGGTTCCTCCTCTGGGCTTTATTTGGGAGTAGCTCCACTTGAAGACTGGCAGAGAGAGTGCAAGGGGAGGGGAGGGTCCTGGTGGGGAGCAGAGGCAGGTGGGACTGTGCGCAGCCAGTGGGTAGGCATCCTAGACCCTGCCGTAGAAGCGCTGATAGGCATCCTGGAAGCCGATGTGGTCTGCCAGCTCGTCACAGTCTGGGTTGAGTTCACACACCTCCCTCTGGGGCTCCAGAGGACCTGGCGTAGGGGCTGGGGCTCTGAGAGGCACCCCCCCAACACACATACACAGTCACATCAGCCCCGGCAAGGTGCCAACCCCTCCTCCCACTGCTTGTGGGGTTGGAGAGTGCCTACCAGGGAAGGACAGGGTGGCCTGGCTGATGGCCCTGCAGCAATCTGGAGACCACTCTATACCACCACTCATGCGGGGACATCCCAGAGACACAGGGCTGGCCCAGCACCTTTCCCTCTTACCCCAGCCCTTGATCCAGGTAGCGCCGGGGTCTCTTCACCACCTCACTGCCCTCCTGCTTAGATAAGAAGGCTGCAGGACATAGCAAAGGCATCAGGTGGCCCTGGGCATGGGACGATGATAGGCTGGAGAGCAGGACAGCCTTCCAAATAGTCCGACAGGAGGTGGCAGGAGTAGGGAAATGGGGCAAGGTTCAGTCCCAAGCAATCCCCCACCTAGTCCAGCTTACCTGTATCCTTGCCAGACTCTGCACCGCTGTGCTTTGCATCTGCAGAAAAAGGAAGCCGGTTCATCCTACTCATTCCCCTGCCTCTCCCTCCACACACAGATCTGGGAATGAGTGGACTAAACCTTGGGAGGGCAGTGAGATTGTAGGAGGAAAGGGCAAGGAGAGCTGGGGCCACCCCGTAGAGGGAAGAGGACATTGACCTGCCCGGGCAGCGAGGCAAAGCACAGCCAGGGCCAGCAGTGCCAGCAGGGTGACAGTCTTCATGGTGCCTGTAGGCGTGGTGTCTGGGCTGCTGCAGGGACTCAGCTGCTCCTTCCAGCTGCCAGCACTGTTTATACCCGCTGGGCTGGGCCTGAGGTGAGGGGGCTGTGGCTGGCAATGGGTCAGGTAGGCGGGACACAGGGGAAGCTGCCAGAGCTAATTGGGGGGTCATCTACCACGGCTCTGTAGGCCAAAGCCCAGAGGAGATTGCGGCTGGGCACTGCGGCTGCCTGGGCTGGGTCCTGGGGGTGAAGGTGGAAGGTGGATGCAATCCAAGACTGCCAACCTCTGGACACTGCTCCAGCCCCTTTCTCAGAGGGCTGCTCCTTCAGCCCCTGCTGTCTTCTTTGGAGACCCCCAGCCGAAGCCTGAATATTGGCTGGGGCCGCGGGAGAGCCTGGACAGAAATGGGTGCTGAGGTCTCAAATAGGTTTGAAAAGAGCTGGATCTCACAGTCTGTGATTTTCACTGTCTGCCCTGGGGGCAGGAGCCAAACCCCAGGGAGGGCCAGGCTGGCAATGTCCTCATCCGCTAGCAAGATCAAAAGGGTAGCTTAGCTGCACATCAGAACAGAGGGGGTCAGGGCAGCAGGGCAAGAGCCAACAGACAAGGGACAAACTGTGAGACAAGGATAGCCTCTTGTCACCAGGGCAGGCCAGGTGGCTACAAGTGCCAGGTCCACAGGACACAGGACAGGGCTGGCTACTGCAGTGGGACCCTGCTCCTCTGGCCTTAGCAGCTGGGGCCAGAGGGAGACAGACCATTCCTCCAGGCTTCTCATCCTTCAGGTTCCTCATATAAGGGACAGGAAGGCCAGAGCATCCCAGCCTGAAATGTCTCATGCCTGAGCATTGTCACTAACTTAGAAGGTTAACTTAGAAGAGGAGAAGGGTGGACTAACACTTCCCATCTGGCCCATCTCTTTGCTCACATGCCATCTATGAGGGTTCAATGTCTACCAACCTAACAAATAACAAAGCTGTCGATGACACAGTGTGGCCTGGACAGGAGGGAAGCATCTGTCTGGGTGAGGAAGTGAGCAGTTGGTGGGGACTGGAGTTCCAGTAGTGCCACCCATTATCTTCCTGTCTGTCCCTAGACTGACCTAGTGTTAGGGTGAGGCTTCCCAGAGAAAAGCCCAGGAAGCACCATCCTACTTTTGGGGCCCTGGCTGAAGATCAAAGAAGCAAGGATACCCAGCTCCCTATTCACACAGAATGAGACCACCACTGTCACCTCAAGAGTTAACTCAGGGGGCTGGGGATTTAGTTCAGCGGTATAAGCGCCTGCCTTGCAAGCAGGCAGTCGTGAGTTCGATCCCTGGTACCGATAAAAATGAGAAAGACAAAAAAAAAAGTTAACTCAGAGGGCAGAAGAGATCAGAAGGGATGGATAGTGCCACCCCTCAGCAGCTTGCCCTGACTCCAGGAAACCTAGAGTCCTAGTCTCTGCTGCCCTCTTCCCATGTTGCCCAACACAACTCACTCGGCCATTGCCCTCTTCCCATGTTGTCAGCCATCCCACCCTCCAGGTCCTCATGGATGAAAGCTGCAGCCTTGACCTGCCTGTGCAATTGCTCCAGAGCCCCTAAGTGGGTTTGGCCAAGGAGGCACCAGGCGTGGAAACATCCTCTAAGATTACAGTGTAGCAGAGGAAGTTTATTTACAGATGTGGGCAGAATATGGCATATGCTCCTGGGCTGGCCAGCAAGATGACAATCAGTGGAGATTGAAAACACATTCTGGGCTGAGGGTGGGGTTCAGGAAGCAGGAGAGCATAGGAGACAGTGCTGGCCTGCACCAAGTGGAAAGGAAGCCCAGCACCTGATTCTGAGGGCAGAAGACAATGGGGAGCAATCTGCAGTGGCACAATGACAGCCAAGGGAGCCCTGGAGACGCAGTGGTAGTGTGGCTCGCTCCAACTGGTCCTCCATCATTGCCCTGGGACTGGCACTATTTCCCCTGTCCTCAGGGCTAGGACTCAGCATGCCAGCCGTGGGTCTTGACCTTGACCACGCTCTGCTGCAGGGCCCACTGTGCCCCCTCACTTAGGCTCCTTCAGCACCACTGCCAGCTTCCGCCGCTCTCTATGCAGAGCCTGAAATGGACAGAGAATAGCCCTATCAGGGTCTGAGGAAACCAAGCCCTTTCTCTTGGTGGTACCCAAACTCCAGGTCTGCCTTCCCCTTTGGATAACATGGATAGGGTCTTTGGATCTTGTCACTGGCCCAACACACACATTAGGTCAAAGACAAGTGGTAGTTCCCACCTCTTGGAGGTATTCATGGCAGGTGAGGTACCATGGCCATGGTCAACAAGAGCCCCCAAAGCAGCACCCCAAACCTCTGACCTCACCAAAGCTTTCTATTGGACCCAGGGCCTCATGCATGCGAGGCACAACTCTACTGTTGAGCTACATCCCAGCCCTAAGTGAAATTTCAGTTGGGCTGCAGAAAACACAACTTTGGTGCTCCCCTACAGGGCTTAGCACTGAACACCAATCTGAGTGAACCACTTCAAGTGATGCCAGGATCTACAGCTGGGGCGGGTGCATGTGGCTGGAGCAGGGGCTGTATTCTCTCTCTCTTAAAATAGGACCCCTAAGCATCAGAGCCAGTGGAGCTCTGAGGATCAGTATTTGGCCTAGTGATGGCCCTGGGCACTGTGGCACTGTGTGGCAAAAGCGAAGTACCTTGTCTGAGGACTCAGGCCTGAGTGCTCGGCACACAACTCAGCTGAGTAGCCTGACCCAAGGGACAGCACTAGGTTGAGGTCACTCTGATCTTGGTCACTAAGACTCTTACACCTCCTGTCTGGTCCCCTAGGGCCAGTCTGTGATGAGACTGGAAAGGTAGAGAAAGCTGGCCACAAGTTTTCCACCTATTGCCACCTCACCAAAGTTCAAGGCCCTTGCCAAAAGCCAAGACAGGAGCTTTGGGTTGCAGCAGAGCAGATCAAGGCATCTGACAGCATGGATTGGGGAACAGGAGAATCTGCCCCAGCAAGTGGCTGTTCAGTGGCCACTAGCAGGCATAAACTGGACATTTACATCACAGATGAAACCATCACTAATGTCACCACCAGGTCCTACTAGAAACCTCCCAGAGCAACTCCATCCCATCACTCGTGCCATTTTTGTTTATCATCTACCTTCATCCCTTCTTCCCCTCATTTACCTGAAGCCACTTGCAAAAAATCAAGTTCATCCTTGAATGGCCCCCTTGTTGGGGATGGTGGAGTTTACCAAAGGCTCTAGAAGCCACTGTAATGCATGTGTTTTAATGATACCACCACACTCCCAGATGGAGCCAGAGGCATGAGCCTGCATTCTGATTTGAGGAGCCAGTACTCCTGGCCAGCCTGGCCCATTTCCTCAGTAGCTGCAGCAGGGAATGTTTGCTACAGCTGGGCTGTAGCAAGGGCAGGCTGGCAGAGAAGAGGGTTCTGGCAGCCTGTCTGCTGAGGCAGCAAGGGCCTACTGCACGTATCCAAGCACAGGTGACAGACTGCAACCGGGGGCAGCAGCCTGCTCCCCATGGGGTCTCTTGTGTTGGCAGAGGGGAAGCTGACAATTTAGAGATCTCCAAAGGCTACTGGAGATGGAAGGAAGAGCACGGGACTGAACACTTGCCTGCCAGGCCTGCTGCCGGGCCTGCACCTGCTGCTGCAGCTCCTCCACTCGTCTGCGCCCTGCCAGGACAGCCTCAGCCAGCTCCTGGTTCTTGGCCTCCTGTTTCTGCACATGGTGCCGGAGGGTGTCTCGCTGCTGCAGGAAGTAGGGTGCCAGAACACTGCACAGGTCTTTCTCTGGCATCCCACTGGGGCGCCTGGGGATGAGGGAATGACACAGGAATGAATGGGAAGCTCCTACCTCTAAACCCAAGCAATGCCATCCCTCGCTCTAGTCCCAAGGCAGCCACTCCAAGACCCCTCCCATGCTCCCTTGCATCCCCAGACTTGCCCTGTCAGAAGTACGCCTCATGTCCCGGTGTCCCTACCCTCAGTCCTGTGCTTAGCCTCCCCCACTGTACCTGCTTGTCCACACACATTCCCTCTTCTCCACCTGCTTAGGGTGACTGCTGTGAGCTGGACAGAACAGGACAGTGGCAGCTAGGGTAGCTCCTCAGAGAGGGCCCAGCCCCTTCAGGGGCAGGATGAGATGGCTAATGAGGAAACATACAGAAAGCGGGTCTACAGAGGCAAGATTACACGGGGAGTGGATTTGGCCACTGGAGGTGCTTCTCAAAATTGCTTTTCAGCTATAAAACTTCACTCTCTTAGGTACTAAGATCATAGAACATAAGACAATGGCAAGTATAAAACACCACCCTCTCACCTGGGGCCTGTGCGAGGCGGCAGGGTAGTGGCAGGCCAAAAGCCAGGCCCCATCTCTCTGCCGCACACAGCCCAGCAGGCACCAAGCAGCCACCACAATATCAGCTCGGGGAGCTTGTTGCCAAAGCTCTAGCATCTATGACAGCACTGAGCATATAGTAGATGCTCTCTAAACATTCACAGAAGGAACAAAGAAACTGACATCAGAAAGTGACCAGCCTGACCCATGTGTAATTCCAAGCCTCACTCTCCTCTCCTGTTCCTCTTTCACAGGCCACAACCAGTGTGAGCCTAGGCAGTCACTTGTGCCTTGGGCTTCCTTCCTGGAGGGACTCTGGCTGCTAGCTGATACTGGGTGCAGTCTGCTGTGTGTCGTTCTCTCAGGGCCCCCAATCCCACATCTGACAGGCATGGTTAGCCCAGGAGCCGACGGCCATGTGCCATGCTTCTCACCAAGCAGGCTCCTTGCAGTTCTTGCCATCTTCCACAATTTTATCCAAGGAGTTTAAGACCGTTTCTAGGTTCCCTTCCTCTTTGATTTCTGAGATTTCTTCCTAAGGGAAAGAAGAAAAAAGCAATAATGACACTGGACAACTTTGGGATAGAAATATGCTAATCCAGGAACCCAATTCAAGCAAGATCTAACTAATTTCTATTGTGTCTTTGAATCTTCTCAAAAGTTTCAACTTTTCTACAATATGTGGCTTTTGTAATTATTTTCTTAATTTTCTAGGATATAAATGGCAAATACTTAAAAAGAGCCAAAGGAAGCCCCTCCCTGCCTGTTCTTGTCCCCATTAATCGATGCTCCTGGCTGACCGCATGCATTGTGACTGATCCTTCAAAGGACTGTCCTAGAACAACAGTGAGGACTCTGACTCTAGGGACATTGTTTGTGCAGCCACAGGGATACAGCCTTATCCTTTTTTGCATCCCCAGTAGTATTCAATTAATTAAGTGCCTCTTCTGAGTCAGGCATGGTCCCTGCAGCAGGAGGTACAGATAAGTGCGGCTCTGTCCTGTCCTCCCTGTGAACTCAGCAGACAAAAAACACATAATTATAACACAGGACAAGGAGAGAAGGGGGCATTTAGGGAGCTTATAGGAGGGAGGCGTGACTCGGTCTACATCCTGCTGGGCATGGAGGAGACAGGTCTCTGCCCTGGGATGACAATACAGAGATGAAAGCCAAGCCAGTAGTGTCTGTGGGTCTCTGGCTACTTACCCGGATGGATGCCTGCAACTGAGTGACAAACTTGTCATAGATCCGCTGGGTCATCTCAGGCTGAAGCTGGTGGAACTGCTTGTAACAGTCCGTGAATTTCTGGTAGCTGGTAGAGAGGAGAAGGCTGACATCACATTCTCCTGGCCTGCCTAGACCCCTCTGGTACCACAGGCTGTAAGCTGTTTACTCAGGGCCCTGTCTGATGGCAGTGGATACAAATCTCCCTTGCAGTGCAAGTCATGGGACAGCTCGACCCTGGGCACCACAGTGCCCATGGTTCCCTTCCCATGCATAGCCCCACCTCACAGTGGGCCACGATGATCCAGGCGCAGGGCTCAGCAAGACATGAGCTCAGGAGTATGAAGCCAGCCTGGACTACACAGCAATACTGTTTCAAAGACAAAAAGCAACAAACTCCCCCCAAAAAACACAACAGAAAGGTAGGCCAAGACTACTGTGAAACCCACACCCACACAGACACCCAAGGGGGGAAGATAGTGGCTTAGCTAGGAAGGGAGGAAGTAGGACTGGGCCCATGTCAAGAGAAAAGTAGTCCTCTGTGCGCATCAGTGAGGACCTGGAACAGTTTGAATGCCTGCGGACTTCCTGAAAAACACACTTAGGCCAAAGCAGGACAGCCACATGTTTTAGAAAACGTTCATCCCTTGAGCAAGCTGTGATATCAACCTGTCCTCTCAAGGTCACTGGGAGCCCAGGGACTCAGAGCAGTGGGAGAGGTACAGCAGCACAGCAGACTTTGAGGCTGCAGCTGGGACTGAGGTGATTCCAGGCTGCCTGGTTCTAGGCCTGCCCCATTTCCAGCCTCCGTGTTCACCCTGGACCCCAGATACAGGGTCTGGCCTGCTTGGGTAAAGGAGTTCACTATGGAGCCTCCCCTGCAGCCTCTCTGCCAATCTCTCCCTCATTCTGGCATAGATCAGGTTGCTGTTTTGGATTTGATAGAGTGTACAGGAGGCTACCTAGCTATGTGCTGGGCAAGAGTCCTGGCTTTTGCCTGGGTTCAAATCTTGATGCTACTACTCATCAGCTCAGACCTTGGACAACCTTCTTCTTCTATAGGCCTGTGTCCTTTTCTGTCAAATGGGGATAACGACAGCATCTGTCTTTTGCAAAGCTACTGTAGGTATCACATGGAGCTCCATGTACAAAGCAGTCACTGAGTGCCTAGCACATTGACTTGTTAGCGCCATCAATCCTGTTCTCACAAATACATCCATGCTGTCTCTTTGGGGGCTGTAGAAGTATAACTTCTTGATGTTTTGCAGCCGAGAAATCATTTCCCCTTGGAAGGCAGTAAATGTGTCTTGGTTGCAACTGCATGAAAAGAAACCAATCCAGCACCAGGAAGACTCTGTTATCCTGCCATCAGGATCTGTCCCTACTCCAGGGAAAAGGCTAAATTATGGCTCCCCAAAAGGCTGAACCTATCATCAGTGAAAGTAAGCCTTTAAAAACCACACTAAAAAAAAAAAAGCCAAAAAAACACTGCTGAATTTCAAACCAAATGACCACAGTAAAATGATTTTAACTTACTCTTTTTATACTGAGAACCCTTCATGGATACTGGATTCACTAAAAAAGCATTTCAATTCCTGCAGTAACAGGGTGCGGTGCAGTTTGGTACACTGAGAGCTCAGATGTCAGCCTGGGTCCCATCTCCAGAACCACAAGACAAAACAGTACAAATCACTGTAAACTGAATTTTTATGTAAGTCTGACTCCGAAATTAATAAAATATTTAGGCCCAGATTCAAGCCCCGGTAGTTGCTCAACTGTCAGTCTGTATGTGCACATAAACTGTGTGGAACAACATGAGAAGATAAGCTTCACAATGTCACAGGAGGACAGAGTGTGGGGGATGGTGGGTATGGGGACCAAAAACCCACCGGGTTTGCCTTCCCCACCTCCAGTGATGAGTACTGCCAGATCAGCGTGTTTCAGAGCCTGTCCACTAGAGGGCAGAAGCGAGCAGCGCGTGCCCGCTAAGATATCAGCCTCCATATAGGTGTGCACCACTACAGCCGGTTAGAAATTTTGTTGTTGAAAGGACTGACTGGCAGTACTGGGGTACTGTACCTATAGGGTGCTTTTTTCCTGAGCTACATCCTCATCCCTTTTTTGAGAAGGGTCTTGCTCAGTCATTGAGTTGTCCAGGCTAGGCTTGAACTTGTGATCTTCCTGCCTCAATCTCCCAGAGTTCTGGGACTACAGGTGTGTATCACTACACGTGGCAAGAAATCTTTCATAAAGAGAATAAGCAGTCAGGCATGGTGGTGCATACGTGTGATCCCAGCAGTGGCGAAGCTAAGGCAGAACAGTCATGGGGCAAGGATATATCTTAGTGGTACAGGCACCTGCCTGGTAAGCGCAAGGGCCTGAATTCAATTCCTGGTACCAAACAACAACAACAAAAACAAAAATTAAAAAACACTAAAGTTAATAAGCAAATTCAGTAGCATAGCTGGATACAAGTCAACACTCAAAAATCAACAGCCTTCCTGTACATAAAGAGCAACCTCACTGAGAGAGATGTTAGGGAAACAGTACTTTTCACAATAGCATCTGAAAAAATGAAATACTAGAAATCAATCTAACGAAGGATGTCAAAGACCTCTACACTGAAAACTACAATACTCTGAAAAAGGAAATTCAAGAAGATATCAGAAAATAGGATATCCCTTGTTCCTGGGTAAGAAGAACCAACACAGTGAAAATGGCCATACTTCCAAAACTTTTATACAAATTTAATGCAATTCTGATCAAAATTCCAAAAGCATATCTCACAGGATTACAGAAAACAATCCTAAAATTCATTTGGAATGAGAAGAATCCTAGAATAGCAAAGGCAATTCTGGGTAACAAAGGCAAGGCAGGGGTATCACAATCCCAGACTTGAAATTATACTATAAAGCTACTGTGATAAAAACAGCATGATAGGGGATATAGCTCAGTGGTATAAGCGCCTGCCTGGCAAGTGCAAGGTCCCGAGTCTGATTCCCAGTACCAAAAAACAAAAAACAGATCCAAAGATCAGTGAAACAGATTAGGAGATGCAGAAACAACTCTAGACTATTTAGCCACATTATCTTTGACAAAGGTACCAAATACAGTCACTGGAAGAAAGATAGCCTCTTTAATAAATGGTGCTGGAAAAACTGGCTCTGTTGGGTCCATTATCTTTTACCATGCACCAAGCTAAAATAGGAATGGATCAAAGATCTTAATATTAAAACAGAAACATTAAATCCCTTGAAGATAGAATAGACTTTAAGAATAAAACTGCAATCATACAGGAACTATCACAAAGAATCAACAACTGGGATTTCATCTCATTAAAAAGCTTCTGTGGGGCTGGGGATTTAGCTCAGCGGCATAAGCGCCTGCCTTGCAAGCAGGCAGTCGTGAGTTCGATCCCTGGTACCGATAAAAAGAAAAAAGACAAAAAAAAAAAAAAAAAAAAAAAAAAAAAAAAAACTTCTGCGCAGGGACTGGGGATTTAGCTCAGCAGCATAAGCACCTGCCTTGAAAGCAGGCAGTCATGAGTTCGATCCCTGGTACCGATAAAAACGAAAAAGACAAAAAAAAAAAAAAAAAAAGCTTCTGCACAGCAAGAGAAACTACCTACAGAATGAAGAGACAACCCATAATGTGGGGAAAAAATGGCAACTATTCCTCAGACAAAGGATTACTATCAAGAACATAAAGAATTCAAAAACTCAGACCTCCCAATTTATTTATTTTTTATTTTTTTGGTGCCAAGAATCAAACTTAGGACTTCATGTGTGCCAGGCAAGCGCTGCTCTGCTGAACTACATCCCTGGCCCAGACTTCCCAAATTTAAAGAGCCAGTCCAAAAATAAGCATCTGAGATGAATACACACTTCTCAGATGAAGAAACACAAACAGCAAATAATACATGAAAAATATTCAACATCACTACTCATTATTTGAGAGACGCAAATTAAAACAACACTGAGGGGCTGGGATTTACCTCAGCGGCATAAGCGCCTGCCTTGAAAGCAGGCAGTCGTGAGTTCGATCCCTGATACCGACAAAAACGAAAAAAGCCAAAAAAAAAAAAAAAAAAAAAAAAACCAACACTGAGATTCCATCTCATCCTGGAAAGAATGGCTATCATCAAGAAATCAACAGATAACAAATATTGTTGGGGCTGTGGGGAAAAACAAACTCTTCTCTGGTTTTGGTGGGAGTATAGACTGGTACAACCACTGAGGAAATCAGTGTGGAGATTTCTCAAAAAACTAGGACTGGAGGTCCCATTTGATCCAGTTATTTTCCTGCTGGGTATCTTCCCAGAAGAATTAAAAACATTGTACCACAGCAATATATGTGGACCTGTGTTTATAGTAGAACAATTTTTAATAGTTAAATCTCAGACACAGCTCAGATGCCCATCAACTGAGGAATGGGTAAAAAAGATGTGATCATTTTTTTTTAAAGAGGAAAAAAAAACTATAAACAATGACACAAGGCCAAGAATGTAGGGGCTGGGGATTTAGCTCAGCGGCATAAGGGCCTGCCTGCCTTGCAAGCAGGCAGTTGTGAGTTTGATCCCCGGTACGGATAAAAACAAAAACAACAACAACAACAAAAAACACAAGGCCAAGAATGTAGCTCAGTGGCATAGCACTTACCTGACAAGCACAAGGTCCTGAGTTTGATTCCCGGTACCAAAAAAAAAAAGGCAAAACAAAAACAATGATACAGAATTTCATATCAAGATAACAGGAAATTAACAATGGTTAATGTATTGCATATTGTTATTCTCACAGTAGTTGCTCAGATTACAAGATATAGGCATGCAAAATGGATCAAACAATACAAGCACAAACTGTTCTTTTCAAAGAACTAAAAGAAATTAGTAGTATAATTATCCTGGCTATTTTCATATATATATATATATATATGTGTGTATGTATGTATATTCTTTTCCCTTTCTTCTGTTCTCCTTCCCCCATCCCAGCTGTTCTTTCCTTTTAAGCAGTTTCTTTCCTTTTCACAATATCTATTATAGGCTTGTTTTTGTTTGTCTTTCTGAGATAGTTTCTTACTATGCAGTTCAGGCTGGCCTTGAGTTCACAATGATCTTTCTGCCTCAACCTCCCTCAATTGGAATTATGGGTGTGTGCACCACACCCAGCTTCCTTTGCAGATTTTGGATCTTATTTAGTCTTACACTATGGAGACAATACTATGTTTACACATGTGAGTCTGATTTATTTCACTTATAAAGTATGGTCTCTAGCTATACTCATTTACCTATAAAAGTCTCAAATTTATCCTTCTTCATAGCTGAGTAGTACTTCATTGTATAAAAATACATCCTTAGTCGGGCATGGTGGCTCACGCCTGTAATCCCAGCACTTGGGAGGCTGAGGTGGGAGGATCCTTGCGAGTTCGATACCAGCCTGGGCTACAAAGTGAGCTCAAGGCCAGCCTGAACCACATAGTGAGGACTCGTCTCAAAAAAAAGGGGGGGGGGCCTGGGGATTTAGCTCAGCGGCATAAGCACCTGCCTTGCAAGCAGGCAGTCGTTGATCCCTGGTACCGATAAAAACGAAAAAGACAAAAAAAAAAAAACATTTTTTTTAACCCTTTTAAATGCTACTCTAGGGAGGGCTTAGCTCAGCAGGTATAAGTGCCTGCTTGGCAAATGTGAGGTCATGAGTTGGATCCCCAGCACCCCCCCCCCAAAAAAAAAGAATAAATGCTTATAACTTTTGGGAGGATGGGAAGAGAAAGGAAAGAAAGGACTTTAAAACCCATGCTATCAATATAATATTTTAAATAGATAAAGCAAGATCTAAGGCATTGGCACTCATTTTGATTTTTTCTTTCAGTACAGGGAAGTGAGCCAAGGGTCTTGGCCATGCTAGGCTCTAACACTAAGCTACCCTCCCCACGCCAAATTTTAGGTGCTTTTTTTTTTTTTTGGTGGTGGTGGTACTGGGGAATGGGCCCAAGGTCTTTGCACTAAGCTACATCCCCAGCCCATTTCATTTAAAAATACATCTTTTTTATCTAGTCCTTAAAATCACTACAAAGATGTATCAAAAAACTAGCATTAGCAGTCCCATTTGATCCAGTTGGGTATCAAAAAAAAAATTTCAGGCTAAGAACTGAGGGTGTGGTGAAGGGTTAATAGAGGCTGTGGACTTAGTGACTGTAGTGACTGCAGGCTCACGGAGGGCACCACTGAGCAGTAGGACAGTGACCTCATGGAGGGTCCACTTCACACAGGGCTGAGAACCTATGACAGGCTCTGACAGAGCCTGGACAGGTACATGCCAGTTCAAATGACCCACTAGCTGTCTTGGAGAAATACAAGTCTCAGCTAGACTGTCACTCTTAGAGTGGCTTCCCTAACCACTCTGCCTAGTGCTGTCACATTAGCTGATCCTCTTCTTTCCAAAGCCCAGTGATCAGTGTATCCACCCACTAAGTGGGAACTCCCAAGACAGAGACTTCAGTTGCTTCACAGTAACCCTGCACTGGACATGGTGAAGGCATGCATGTGCTGGATTATGCAAAAAGATTGAAGTCTTTTTGCTTTGCTTTTGACATGGAGGTTGACATTTCCCTTTGTTGCCTAGGATGGCCTTGAACTTCGGGCTCAAGTGATCCTGCTGCCTCAGACTTCGGAGTGACTGGGACTGGAAGGACACAGCAGTGTCCCCAGCCACAAAATTGAACTCTTCATGAACACAAAGAACAGTGACAACAGAGAGTTGGATAACGAAGGTAAGGCTGTGGCCAGGGAACCAAACTGGAATTCTGGTAACTGTTTCAGCATTCATGTATCTGGCTGATGGAATCAGCATAAAACTCTTTCCTCTAGTATCTAAGCAAGCTGTGGTAGTGCACACCTATAGCTCTTTGTACTCTTAAAGGCTGAGGCTGGAGGATCTCAAGTTTTGAGCCCACCTTGTGCAATTCACTGACTTAGTGAGACTCTGTCTTGAAATTTAAAAATAAATGAATAAACAAACAAATAAAGGGGGCTGAGGAATGTAGCTCACTGCGAAACCCATGGATTCAAATCCCAGTATCACCAATATTGTTAATATAAGTAAACAAAAAGGGCCGAGGATATAGCTCAGCGGCATAGCGACTGCCTGGAAAGCGTAGGGTCGTGAGTTTGATCCCCGCCTCCCCCCTCTCCCCAAAACAAGTGTCAACGAAAAAGAAAAAGTGCCATATAGTAATGTTAAATCCTCATAACCTCCCAGGGAAGGCATTAACTCCATACATGCTAGCAGTTTTCTATGGACACACATCGTCCTCGGCGGCTCCCGGTGTGCTCAGCTCTGTTAATTCTCTAAATGACCCCACGGGGATGACTGTAGCATCTGACAGCCAGAACGACCTAGCGAGCTACCCTGGAAACCCTCATCTAAAGCGACATTCTCATCTAAATAAGGCTTCCTGCGGGAGGAGTGGCCCTCTGTCCCTGGGCTGCTACAGGTTTCTCGCGACTCTTCTGGGCTCTGGATCTGACAGTGAAAGGAGGGAACAGCGACCGCCAAGGCCATCCCCTAAACGCTCTACAGGGTCGACGCCCCCTGGCCTCATGTGACCGCCCCGCCGGGCCACTCTCGCGGGATTTGGACTGCAGCTGGGAACAACTTCATTGTCTCTCTCTCCATCTTCCACTTTACCTCCCAGCGGCGACCAGCTTCTGGAGAAAAGTGTCCACCATGGTGTCGAGGAGTTTCACCCGCGAAATGGTAGTACCAGGTGGCACGGATTCAGGAATCGACCCGCCAGGCTCTCCCTCAGCCGCCGCCTCATTGGGCCCGTTGGCTTCAGCCATATTGGAGTCGAACCGCCAAATGGAAGTGGCTGGGTTGCACCGCCCACCAGTGCTCCCGATTGGCTGTCCCTCCATTGGATGCTGCTGATTGGGGAGGTGCAATGTCTTATCACCGAGGCACGCGCCACTAAGCAGCTCAGGGAGGCGGACGTACGGGTAGCTAAGCAAGCGGCGCGCTAACGTGCAGTGCTCTCTCCTTAACCCGGAAAATACTGGCAAACCAAAGTCCATGGGGTCAGTAAAAACTTTTAATTACACTTTAGAGACTTCGTACAGTGCAACATAGAATATTCGCTAGTATAGTATTCACAAGAGTCCATTTTACCATTTTAAATGAATTAGCATTTTCATTCCCCTGTCCTTAAGTATTCCAGTCAGGTTGCCGGTCTCAGTCTCTCCAGGTTTTGTTTTTGTATGTATGTGTTTTTTTTAGTTTTGGTTACCAGCCAACACATTAAAACTTCCAGCTGCTTTGGTCTCCAGTTTTAGGAAAACAGGAAGTCCATTGTACCATCCTCACCACGACGTACTGTAAATCCAATCCCAGTTCCTAAACTATTAAAAGAAAATGGGGGGGGGATTTAATTTAGGGGCATAAGTGCCTGCCTTGCAAGCAGGCAGTCGTGAGTTCAATCCCTGGTACCGATAAAAACGAAAAAGACAAAAAAAAAAAAAAAAAAATGACTACGAATGAGTGAGATAAAAGACTGAAATGCTGCGCAGGGAAAATGAATCAGAGGGAAGGAGTCTGGGAGAGAGGAACACTGCTGTCCATACTTCGAGACGGGCATTGAACTCTACTCTAGCCAACCTCAAATTTGTGCTCCTCTGGCTCCAGACTTCCAAGCGCTAGGGTGTCCAGGCTTGTGCCACTATGCCTGGCCTGTCCATGATCCTTTACCCACTCTGCCACTGTGAGGGAAAGGATGGAAGACAAGGAAAAAGATGTGAAACTAAAAAAACCAATCTAGAGGTCTTACTAGGAAAAGCTTAAAGAGGAAGGCCCTTGCTCCATTATATTATTGGTGGTTCTCAGGTTAAAGAGGTGAGGGGACATCAGAGGTGATGCACACCTGTAATCTCAACACTTGGAAGGTTGAAGCAGGAGGATCTTTGCAGGTTCAAGACCAGCCTAGGCTCCAAAGTAAGCTTAAGGCCAGCCTGAACTGCATAGTTAAGACCTTGTGGGGGGGGGTATTCAAATGATCTGTGGCCTCAACTCTTTGTTTGGCTATTTGTGACTAGAAATTGAAGCAATCTCTTGACAAAGCGCAGGAAGAAACAAATGGGAAAAAACTTAAAATGGGACCAAGGGGCTGGGGATATGGCTCAGTGGCACAGTGCCTGACTGGCAAGCACAAGGTCCTGAGTTCAATTCCCAGTACCACAAAAAAAAAAAAAAAAAAAAAAAAGGGTCCAAGATAAGGAGTGGAAATAACGGTAAAGAAATATGGTTTTGGGGGCTGGGGATTTAGCTCAGCGGCATAAGCGCCTGCCTTGGAAGCAGGCAGTCGTGAGTTCGATGCCCGCTACCGATAAAAAGGAAAAAAGACAAAAAAAAAAGTAAATTTAAGAAATATGGTTTTGAAAAGAAAAGAAGTATGCTTTTCAGATCCTTTCCTGGCCAGGGTAGAAGAACATGGTACAACCATAAGAAATCAAGGCTTCAGGTAGCTAGCACCTTTCAAATCGGCACATGGCCTTTCCTGGGCTGGGACTATTAAAAAGGCTTAAGGGTCATCCAGGCTAAATGTCTCAGATAGGAAGGCAGAGCTTGACTGTCTTCCCATTCGATTTACAGCACTTTCGGCTGGTAACAGGCTTGGTGGCGGAGGTGGAGCAGGGAAAATGAGGCAGGGAAGGAGTGCCACCTCTAAGCTCCTGAGGAGAGCATCTCAGATAATCTTGGCAGTATCTGGCTGGTGAATGCAGTGGTCCTAGTATTGGGTGACTTCCTGACCTATTCTTTATTTTCTTCAAGCACTGGGTACCATGGCTAGGAAGACTCTGCATATCCAGGGGGAAGAAAACAAAAACGTTCCACACCTTAAAGAGCAGCTTAACATCTGTGGCTGTGAATCTGAGCAGCTGGGGTATATACGTATGTGTCATGACTGCCTTCAGTGAGAACCTCCCCTGTTCTCTCCTAGGCTTGGCTCAGTGGCCTGAGGAAATGTGATAGGTGACATAGAGCCAGCCTTTTGTCACTTTCTAAACCAACTGCTCTCTCAACCTGACTTTTCAAGGTGGTGCTCCAAGTTCAGTGTACTCCACACAGCCTGTGCTACTTAGAATTGTGCCGCCCACCGTAGTCATATGGGCCTGGGGAAGTCAAAAGCTCATACTGCACGAGGGCTGCTGGCACTGAAAGGATGCTGAAAGGATACAGAAGGGACAGGAATCTGGGACTGAGGAAAAAGCTATGTGACATTTTCTACCTGTCTGAGGAAGGGGGAGGCTCTGACAGCACGACTGGTGCCCTAGCGGAATAAGACAATAGTTTAGTTCACAGATGCTTAAAAAACACACGCACAAAATAAACTATCAACTTTTCTCTCTATCCTAGTAACTCCCCTAAAGAGAGGATGAGGGTTCTACAAAGCCATACTCCCTGTGTGAAAGTGCCTAGCAACTTGCCCTAAGGGACAGGAAGAAGCAACTCATTTCCAAATTTTAAAAAAGCAAGTGTAAGAGATGGGGCAGGAGAGGGCTGGGAGCAGCTGCTTAAGAGTCTGGGCTGAAAACCCAAGAGGAGGAACCAGTAGTCCTAAGCGAGCTGTGTGCAAGGCTCTTCTCAGTACCTCACGACAGACACAAGGAAGCCAGGGAGAGAGCCAGCAGGATGGAGGGGGTGGGGTCCTCAGGGCCGCTGAATGAGGCAGTCCAGTTCAGGAGGAGAATTACACTTAGTAGGGGCAGGTGAGCCAGGCGTGGATCCTCTTCAGCAAGAGCAGTTCAAAGTCTTTGCCCCAGTCCTAAACAGGCCACCTAGCCCCACGCAGGGCTAGGGATGGGTTGGGTACATCAGAGGGCGTTCGCTCCCCTGCTTTGCCCCAGCTCAGTGTAGTGTTGGAAACAGCAAGCTACTCAGCCTGCTGTGCCTACCAGTGTCTTGAGTCCACCAGCTCAGGGCGCAGGCTGAGTTTCTTGAGGCTCTCATATCCCACCACGATGACAATGGTGGAGGGCGTGGCTGAGATGATTCTGGCTGAGAGGCCCTTCATGAGGCCCCAAGGTCCCTCTTCTGCCATCAGCTGTCTGAAGGTCAAAATGATGGAGCTCTTGCCTTCAACCTGCAAAAGTCCACATGATAGTGGATCACTGTTGGAGTCAAAGCCCCTCTGCCCCATCTTGCTCTGCCTCAGGTACAAGTGGGGAGACCTAGACTGGAAGTCAGAGGGCTACATTGTGCTGCTGGGGGGCAGCACAGCACAGCGGCTTACTGTGAGGTCAGGTGCCAGACTACATGAGTTTGGAGTTTGCCCCCTAGCTTACAGTACAACATTGGATAATTAATGCTTCTGTACCTCAGTGTCCTCAAATATAAAACAGTGGCAGCAATACCTATACCATGAAGTTGTTTTTGTTTTTGATGTTTTTTGAGACAGGATCTATGTGGCCCAGGTTGACCTTGAACTCATGGCAATCCTCCTGCATCAGCCTCTCAAGTGCTGAGATGAGATTACAAGCATGCGCCATCACACCTGGCTAATGAAGTTGTTTTGGATAAAAAGAAACTAATATTTATAAATGCTGCCAACAGTACCTGACACACACCAAGTGCTCAGTGTTACCTGTTAACATCATTAGCTGAGCTACAGAGCTGACTGTGGCGTTCTCTGGACTGAGTGCTTTTCACCTTTGATCTCAGGCTGAGTTTTTTTGTTTCTGTTTTGAGACAGGTCTCCCTATGTCATTCAGATTGATCTCCAACTCACCATGTAACCCAGGCTGGGCTCAAACTTGCTATCCTCCCGCCTCCTCAGGCTCCCAAGTACCGGGATCACAGACATGTACCACCACACCTGGCAGCGAAGGCTCCCTCTTACTCACAGCTCCTCTTAGCCCCTTACCTCCAGCTGGAGTGCCCCTCACACTGGAGACCTACCATTTTCCCCTTTCTCCTCCAGAACACCAGCCTGAGAAGACTGAAGTCTGACCCTTGCACTTTTGCTACAAACCATTCAAACACCAATGTGATCATTTTCTTTTCCTTTTTGAGACATGGTCTTGCTATGTGGTCCAGGCTGGCCTCAAAAATTTGAGGCAATCAATCCTCCTGCCTCAGGCTCTCAAGTGCTAGGACTATAGACGTTTGCCACCATACCCAGCAATGTGTTCATTTTCAAATGTTATGGCAGCGTTCTTTCCTAAGGACAAAAATACCTGTTTGCTGTATATCCCCTTTCTGACACTCTGATAGCAGAGAAACTGACTTTCTCCACAACTGGCTTTGTTGATTACTGATTTCATTTTTTTCATATAGGGGTCTCCCTATAATTTCCAGACTGGTATCAAATTTTGGGGCTCAAGCAATCTTCCTGCCTCAGCCGCCCAAGTAGCTGGAACTACAGGCATGCTTTACTCAGCTCCCCTACTTACTAAGGGTCTTTTCTTTCCCTCCTCTTTTCACCATTCAGTTAGAATGACCATACCACCCTGTACATTTTTCTTAATTCTCCTCCGTTCTTCCTAAGGTACCCAAATCCAGCATTAAAATCTCCTTTTGATTTCCATCTGAAACTTCACACAGTAAAACCTTCCCTTGGCATACCATATACTATCAGGTTCTATTTCCAGGTGAAAGAAAAGTCTTTCAGCTGACTGAAGACAGAGGTTCTCATTCCTGGACAGCACTACCATAGGCTGTCAGTGTTTTTGCTGAGCCCACACAGCCCAATCTGTGAAAGCTATTTAAAAACTGTTGGTTTCCATAGACAGCCCTAGTGGAAAAACTACTTAGGAAGCAAGCGAAATCAGTATTTCTATAAAGCACAAACGTGTAAGATGGGAAAGAATAGTTTACAGGCTATAGAACAGGATTCCAGTGGACAGCTGGAAGAAACAGTTAGAAATCCTGGAGGCAGGTGCGTGTAACAGGGAGGCATGCGAGGCAGCAGACAAGTGTTTGGCTGCTTTCTGTGGATGGTAAGTACAGCATGGGCCTGGCTGACCAGAAGGCCAAAGACCATCTTCCAATGGCTTCTCCCGGAAGAGGCTCAGAGGGGACCGGTTTTACCTGCACTCGGGTTCGGATGACATCCATGGGGTTGGTGAGGATGGAGGCAGTGGCTGCAGCAAGGGGCCCGGAGATGGCTTGAAGGATGATGTGAGGGCACTCCTTAGGGCACAGGTGCGAGAGTTGCTCTGGAACCCAGGGAGAGACAATGCCTCAAGACACGAGATACCACCGCCTACTCTTCCTGTGCCTGCTGCTGCTTCCATTCGCCGGCACTAACAACCCTGACAAGCCCTCCATCTTTTACCCTTACACCTGTAACTCCCAGCCTTCCTCTCTATTTCCACCTGCAGCCAACAAAAAGTATTACATATCTCAGGCCCCTCCCAGAAGTCATCTTGGTGATATTACCCATTTAAACAGGACAAGAGTCCCCTGGAAAAAGGGATCTCCAAACTTCTCTGACTCCTTTCATCCAATGGACAGAAAAATCCTTCTTGAAGTAAAAATTGTACACCTCTTGCTCTGCTCCTCTCAACTCATGGGCTGCAGGGGCACACACTGCAGATCTGCTTAGTTATGCACTGAAAAAGTCTGCTGGGATAGATGAAAAACTGTGACAATGTCTGTCCCCTGGAACTGGACGACTGCTGTGGGCAAGAGGGTGTTTCATTGCACGCCACATACCTTTCCCTAGCTTTCAAATTGGGAGCGTTGTGTTTTCACAAATGAAACCATTAATATTAAAATGCAAAGTCTTATCCTACAGTAAGAGCTTTGCGCTGGCCTATATCAAGAAAGAAGAATTGACTTCTCAAAATGCTAATGATGATGGATTGGTACCCAGATTCATTCATTCCCACTGCTCGCAATTAAATGTGCCTTTACCTTCTGAAGGTGAAAGACAAAAGTTCATTCATTTATTCAACAAAGATTTATTGAGCACTACTGGTCAACCCCAGTCCTGAGGATTTAATAGTGAGTAAAAGAGCCTCAAATTCCTGCACTGAGGAAATTCATAATCTGGGGGAATACAGACAACAGCCAAATAAAAAAGCAAAATACATAGCCATGCTAGAAAGTACATGCTGATCCAGAAGGTAAAAATAAAGCATAAAAGAGGGAGGGAGTACCAAAGCAGAGTAAGGGACAGGATTGTCATTTTAATTTTTTTTTTGGTAGTGGGGATCGAACTCACAACATGACACTTGCCAGGCAGGTGCTTATGCTGGCCCAGAGATTATCCTGGCCCTGACTGTCATTTTAAACACAGTAGACATGGGTGCCCATCTAAGAACATGTTTTTTGTTTTTTGTATTGAGAATTGAACTCGGGACCTTGCACTTGCCAGGCAGGTGTTTGTGCTGCTGAGCTATATCCCCAGTCCAAGAACCCTTCCAAGTAAGGCAGGCGAGAGAGCTGAGTAAAAGCAAGCCAGATGGTTCTAGGGAAAGAGCTTTCAACCACAAGATAACACCCTATGCAAAGGCCCAGAGGTAGAAGTATCCCAGGGCCACCAAGTCTAGTAGCCTGGAAGAGAATAAATGAGAGAAAGAAAAGTAAATGAAAACCAACAGGAAAACCACTTTATAACCTTGAGGCCACCTCACAGAGGAATCATGCTTTTACTCTGAGTGAAATGGGATGTAAAAACCTTGCATCTCAGTGATTCCCTCTCTCCTCTCCTACAATAAATCACCATACCTTTAAGGATTTTTTTCCCCCTAAGTGTTTTGAGTTTTGGTAGTTTGTGGTCACACAACTAAAGATAGAAGAAGTACAGGGATTTGGCAGGGTAAAAATAAAGGCCATGAAGTCCCAGATGGCAGAGAAAATTCCTTAAACCCTGCCAAAACCACCTCTCCCCTAGTTTCTGATCTCCTTCTTCCCCAGAGTCCTGTAAACAGAAACAATGTGAACTGCTGGCTGTGCCCCATGGGCCCAGTTTCTCCCACAAAGAAGGTATTTTGCAATCAGACTGTAGCATCAAGGACTGGCTCTGCCTGTCTCTGTGGGCCCACCTGCTCTGGCTGTAGGCCTACAAGCTGCAGTGGGCTGAGATTCTTGTTCTAATTTCACTATGTGTCACCTTCCCAGGGCTTAAGCAAAGGATGAAAATAGGAAAAAGGTTAGGATAGCTAAGATGATTGTGCTACAAATCCTGTAAGATCTTGGAAAACAGCTAACATTCTTAGGACTGAAACAACTTTGTATGTTTGTGTCTGGTGATCTGAGGAACTCTTGAAGATCACTATATATGTATATATATATATATTTTTTTTTTTTTTTTTTTGTCTTTTTCATTTTTATCAGTACCAGGGATCGAACTCAAGACTGCCTGCTTGCAAGGCAGGCGCTTATGCCGCTGAGCTAAATCCCCAGCCCCGAAGATGACTATTTAAATAACAACCTTAGTTGTGTTTCTACCTCCTCGTTTTTATATATTGTCATTGTTTTGGGCTCTTTGCTATTGTTATTTATTTGTCTTTTTTGTTTCTTGTTTTTCTAGTAATCTGTTTTATTTTGTTTTTCTCTCTAATACAGAAAGGATAGGCACACATGTAGAGGCTTATACAGCTGTAGAACTTTTATGAGAAATAATTATATTATGTGTGATGAAATGAACAGCTACTATGAAGAAAAAGACACTGAGCTGGGGATTTAGCTCAGCGACATAAGCGCCTACCTGGCAAGGGCTAGATCATGAGTTCGATCCCTGGTACCAAAAAAAAAAAAAAAAAAAGAAAACGAAAAAAAAAAGACACTATGGTATCCACTGCTGATTCTGTATCATCATGCTGTGAAATCCAATAATGCTTTTATTCTTTGTTCAGAGTGATTTTAGTCGGTTCTGTGTTGTTTAACTTCAACATACATAAAGGTACGGACAGCTATTTTGAAGAGAACAAGAGACATCATGGCAGCCATTGTTGATTTTCCTATTGTCTGGTTTTGAAGGCCTGTAAAGTCTTCATTACTCTGTTCTGATCAGTTTTATGCTGTTTTGTATGAATTCATTGTGTGTGAAGATACAGACAACTATTTAGAAGAAAACAGACACATTATGGTAGCCACTGTAGATCTGCTGTCTTGCTTTGAAATCTGTGTCACTTACATTGTTTTCTTCTGATCTGCTTTGTTCTATTTTTTTGTTTGTTTAGTTTTACCCTCTTTAAAATAAAAAAAAAGGAAGGAAGGAAAAAGAGTGATGAAGAGTCCATGTCTTTCCTTCATCTCCATTAAAGAGAGGAAGCAAATGTTTATTGAGGCAGGAATGGTGGTATGTATCTGGAAGCCAAATACTTCTGAAGGCTGCAATGTGAGGATCACTAAATTTGATGCCAGTCTGGGAACTTAGCAAGCATTTGTCTCAAAACTAAAAATTAAAAAAAAAAAATTAAACAGGCCTGGAGATGTTGCTCAAGGCAAATGCCCCGGTTTCAATTCCTAGTACTACAAAAGAAAGAGAGAGAAAGGAAGGAAGGAAGAAAGGAAAGAGGGGAGGGGAGAGGGGAGAGGGTGAGGGGAGGGGAGGGGAGAGGAGAGGAGAGGAGAGGAAAGGAGAAAGTCAGGGATATAGCTCAGTAGCACAGCACTTGTCTGGTAAGCATGAGGTCCTGAGTTCAATTCCTGGTACCACCCCCCGCAAAAAGACACAATTTCTTGAGCACTTATTATCTACAGGCAGATGAGCTCAGACCAACATGGTTTAAGTCCTTCCTGATTAAATGAAAGTGGGGCAAATAATATAAATGAATATTTATTCAATGCTTCTTAAACACCAGGCACTGTGATATCAGATGTGAAACAAGGAAATGTCTGCATAAAACATATTCTGAGCTGGGTATGGTGATGTGCACTTGTAATCTTGGCACTTGGGAAGCTGAGACAGGAGAATTGCCTTGAGTTTGAGGCCAGTGTGGCTACATAGTGAGACCCTTTCTCAAAAAAAACTTACATTCAGTCCGGAGGCACCTGCCTTACAAGTACAAGGTTGTGAGTTCAATTCTTAGTACCCAAAAAATGAAACAAACAAGCAAATGAAAACTTGTAATTAGGAACCTGGAACCTGGAAATTGGGATAAAATACTGCAAATTATGAGAAGTGCTAGGAAGGAAATAAAGTGCTAAAATAGAAAACTGAAAGAGCCCTCTTTCTAATAGGGAAGGAAGAGAAGTATTTTTTTGCAAAGCTGAGCCTTGAAGCCTGAGAAGGAGCCAGCTACTAAAGAACAGAGGAAAGGTGTCCCAGGCAGACAGGATACCATCTGCAAAGGCCCTGGGGCATAACAGAACTTGATGTGCACCAGACCTGAAACAATGGCCAAGGATGGACCAGGGCCAGGAAGTAGAGTGCACAAATAGGAGAGGGCCAGCAGACAGGGGTCAGGCTCCTCTGCAGATGTGTGGATGGTGGGGGAAAAAGTGGATTTATTCTAAATGCCCATGTAAGCCAAAACAGAGTGAAAACAACCAATCTACACATACGAAGGGAACATATTTACTGAGAATTTATGATTCACCAGCCACTGAACGAGGTGATGAAAGGCACAACAGAACAAGAGGAAACATCTATAAGTGAGTAACATGTCACTGTCAAGAGGTCCAACAGCCAGAATACCTGCAGTCTGAGAATGGAAAGATGTTGGAAACAAGGAAAACAAAATCAAACAAGGACAGATACAGACTGCAGAGAAAACATTCACATTTCCTGGGAAGCTTTGTTTTGGTTTGGTTCAGTTTGTTTTTGCCACTGGGGAGGGAACCCAGGGCTGCTCTACCACGGAACTGCATTCCTGACTTTTATAATTTTTTTCATTTTGAGACAGGGTCTTGATAAATGGCTAAGCTCCTGCCTCAGCCTCCCAAGTGCTGAGATCACAAGTGTGCACCACCATCCCCAGCTCAGGAATCCAAGTTTTTACTAAATAATCCAGATGAAAGATTGTGCTAAACAGAAGAAATGGAGATGGCAAAAAGAATATATAATCAAAAAACAGAAAAAGCAGTAAAAAAGGACAGTGCCACAGAAACAAAATGATTTCAGGTTACAAAGTAATTTTTTTTTAACACCAAGTACATTTATTAGAAAAGAAGAAAGTTATAAAATAGTCTCATATCTTTCCTTGAGAAAGTAATTTCAAAGTGTCAGATGGAAGGACAAAAATGCCCACTGCAAAAGGTAAGGAGCCAGTGGCAGTGAGTAGGGAGGCTGCAAGCAGAGATATCCTACAGCTGGGCAGGACAGTTATCCTAGGAAGTGGACAGCAGGCTCACTCAGATCATCCTATGGCTTTGCCCTTTCAGAATGCAATCTAGCAGAATGTCTACTGAGAGGCCTCAAAAAATGTTATTCTTGGGCTGGGTATGATAGTACACGCCTGTAATCCCAGCAATCCCAGCACTTAGGAGGCTGAGGCAGGAGGATTATTGTGAGTTCAAGACCAGCCTGGGCTACAAAGTGAGCTCAAGGATAGCCTGAATTGCATAGTGAGACTCTGTCTCAAAAAAACAAAAAACAAAAAAAGTTATTATTTTACATAACAGGAAATAGGGGGAGATGGATCTTTTGCAAAAGGGAAGAGGACCAAGAGATAGAGGGATGGTAGAAGGAAGGGAGGGGAAGGGGATTAGAAGAGTTCAGATGTGTTATGTATATGTATCAGCTCCCCATGAGCAATGTAATCATTATGTACTACAAACACATACTAATAAAAAATAAAATTTGAAAAGAAAAAGGGTAAAAAAATTTAAAAAAAAAAAAAGAAAAAAAAGGAAAAGGGTAAAACATTATCTTTTGACCTACTAATCCCAACTTCTGAAAACATTTTGAGTAAAATGTCTTGTTAACAAGACATACTATAGAAGTCAAAAGATTTAATGTTCTATCAGATTTGTGTTCAACAATGCGAAGAAAAACACCCAACTTGAAAGCTCACAATTATCCATCAATGTGTCTTCAAACCCCAAATAATTGACAGCTTTCGTCCTCCCAGCACCTCCCACTTCTCTGCCCATATTCTGCTACCTCAAGTCAATTCCAGTGCACCACAACATATGCAATACACTGTTCTGTGTCTATCTACTTCATCTGTCCCCTTCACTACATTGTATGTTCCTTGAAGGCAAGGATCACATCTAACTCACCTTTGAATCCCGCTGGAGTCAACCATTTGCCAAGTGAATAGCCCATCCCCCCATTAAAGCTCACTTCCACTCCAACATCACAGAGCAATGCTGTCCCTTCCGCCCCAACCTTCCTGGCCCGGCTTACCTGCATAGAAGTGATAAAAGGGCCACCAGACAGCACTGTTTGGAATATAGGTAAGCAGTGAAGCCACATAGCCTCGGTAGAAGCCACGAAGCCCATCGGCCTGCAGGATCTGCCTGATGATGTCCTTAGTTTGGCCAAAGGCAACAACCCCTTGTCCTTCTAGGTTCCCACGCACCTGAAAGCGGCCCATTTTCTCACCCTTGCGCTGCATCATCAGGTGTTGGGATACCACATCGATGGGCACAGTGATGCTCTGGGCCACAAGAGAGGCTGAGCCACCAGCCACCAGTGATTTGACTGTGTTGCTCTGACTGTAGTCAGCTACAAACTTCCGAGTGAGTTCATAGGTGGTAACATAACACTGGCCAGAGATAAGGGTGAAAGTGTTGACCAAGAATCCCCGGTATAGGCCGGTCACACCATCTGCTCGTAGAATCTTGATGAAGGCATCAAAGGTCCCATGGTAGAGGCTCTTTCCCTTTTGAACTTGCAGTCGCGTGCGGATGAGGGTAAATGGGTAGACACTGACACGGATCATCATGGTCATGGCCACGCCAAACACGTAGAACTTCTTCTTGTCCAGGTGTTCCCACTCAATGATCTGGATGTTGCGTTTGTCCTCCATTATGCCTGAAGAGCTGGGATGCGGGCGGGGTGCAGGGATGGGAGGAAAGGGGTCAGGACTTTGTGCTCTCTCCTCCTGGCTAGATGCCAAAACCCCTCTCCTCAGGCTTCATCTCCTCTTAGACTTCACCTGGCTCTGCCCATTCCTGCCCTGCACAGACCAGCAGCATTCTTCTGCCCTCTCATTGCCCTTGACCAGTCCCTTCCCAACTCAGATCCCCTCCTTCATAAACCACTCCTCACTGGTGCCTCCTTTGGCTCTACTCAAACCTCAGCTTCCTGCCCCAGCTTAGAGAAGCATGAACCCTAAACTCTCTGTCCAAGCCATGGTGGCATAGCAGGGACCATTCAAGCCAACCACCTGCAGGACCTAGGTGACCCCACTAAGGGAGACTGAGGAGGTTCCTGAAGGTTCCTGGGCTCACTGAGGATGCCCCACATTGGGCCTTTCCTCTCCAGCGGGTGCCTCTAAGTGCCACTCACCAGCTGACTCTTACTGCTGGATTCCCGCACTGACCCTTCTGAGCTCCCCTAAACATTCACGGCACTTGCATTTTCTCCAGTATGAGTGGGGCTTTCATGCCACACGGCACCACTACCACCTGCCCAGCTTCAGGGAGAGAAGGGGGATGCCAGGAACAGGCCAAAGGCCAGAGTCCTCTTCAGGTTATTAGATAATTGACTGTAGAAAGAGAAAACAACCACTTGATAGCTATAGTTTACCTGAAGAGCCTGAAAACCACGGGGTGGAGGACAGATGTGACCCTGTACTTTTTTTTTTTTTTTTTCTTTTTCATTTTTATCAGTACCAGGGATCGAACTCACGACTGCCTGCTTGCAAGGCAGGCACTTATGCCGTTGAGCTAAATCCCCAGCCCCTTGACCCTGTACTTTCAACCCTAATCACACAGACCACAACCTTAGACCTAGAGAATGAAGGTAGCAGAGGGACACAGAATTCAGATTCCGCTTTCAAGAAGCTCACAGGTTGTTCCAGGAGACATCCAAGCCTTCTGGGGAATGTATATAAGAAACAGAGGAAAAGAAAGCAGGGTGAATTAATGTACATGGGGCCCATGTGTAAGTTTATCCATCGCCTAAACAAAATAATAAGCTTGCCAATGTAATAATCATACGAAACCAGGAGATTCACATTTAGGAAATGTGAAACAAGAAGACATCATATATCAAAAGTATTTTTTTTATCGGTATTAGGGATCGAACTCACGATCACCTGCTTGCAAGGCAGATGCTTATGCCGCTGAGCTAAATCCCCAGCCCCCCTCAGAAGTATTCTTAATGGTAATGTCATATGCTCCATTGTTTGGTAAGATGCTGGAAATTTTTACCCAGATAGTTTAGTGAGAAATCCATAACAGCTGGGAAAGGAGGTGACCATCTCCTAAGGAGGATTCTAAAGGACAGAAACGTCCCACACAAGCAGCTGTGAGCTGGATGTGGTGGTGCACACCTGTAATCCCAGTACTTGGGAGGCTGAGGCAGGAGGACCATTTAAAGTTCAAGACCAGCCTGGGCTACAAAGTGAGCTCAGGTCAAGACTGTGTGTCAAAAACAAAAACAAAAACCAAGCAGCTCTGGCAGCAAACCTCACAGTACCCCAGGACAAGGTCTAAAGTAGTTTCAGAAAAAAAAAAAAGGATGTGAAGAACTTGAAGTTACCTTATCCAGAGAATACATGTTGACTCCTGGCATGGAAAGATAACTTTTAGGACTGGTCAGTAAGAGGCACAAAAAGATTTATTTAGAAGAAAAGTGTGCATTTAGAAGGACATGTGTGTACCCAGAGAATGAAACGCATTCTTTTCTGGAGTTGGGAATATCTATTTTTTGGGGAATGAAAACCTGGAGAACTTGTGAATCTATAGAAAGTTTCGTCTTGGTCTATAGAAGAAAAGGATGGTCCATCCACATGTACAAAGATAACGAGCCAGATTGAGGCAAGAGGATCTCTCCAAGTTTGAGGCCAGCCTGGACCACAAAGTGAATTCAAGGCTAGCCTGAACCATATAGTGAAATCCTGTCTCAAAAAAAGACCAAAGGGGGCTGACAATTTAGCTCAGCGGCATAAGCACCTGCCTTGCAAGCAGGCGGTCGTGAATTCGATCCCTGGTACCGATAAAAATGGAAAAAAAAAAAAAAAGTTAAAAAAAGACCAAAGATAACAGGCCACATTATAGCAGAAAGTTAGGGCCCGATGAATTATTTGTTTTGTTTTAGTTTTGAAAGTGGGTGATCTATGATGTTTTGCCTAAAAACATTGTTTTAAGTCTCTAAGTCTGTTTATTAGGTTTCTGTCAACTAAGCTAAGCTATGGACTTAAAGTATCATTAAGGAATTTTAGGTTTCATGGGCCCAGAAGAAAATGGACACAAATAAGCCTAGGGAGTACGACTATGGGTAACTCTGGGTAACTTTCATTGTTCTGAAGTTGCAGGTTTCTTAAACGTAAGATTTTGAAATTAATCTTTATTTTTTCTATCCCACCTCAACACCAAGTATCTATTGAGAGTCCACCCTCAACTACCTTCCTCAGCTGAGGGCCCAACTCAAGCTCAGCAGTTCCATGGGAACGGTCCTTGGTTTGGATGGAAATCAGTAGGGTAGGCAAGATTTGCTTTTGGGGAATCCCTGAGCTAGGCTGCATCACTTCCATAAAAAGTAGCCTTACTCCTGGTGCAAACTGCTACCTAAGAGCTGAGAAAAGGGAGAGACACATGGAACCAAGACAGTCTTCCTGGAGGATGAAGCCAGATGAGGGCAGGAGGAATACATGTGAAAGTGAAAACAAGGGAATATTGGCTTGAAGAAGGGAAAAGAGAAACCAGGTGTTGGCCAAAGTAGGAAATCAAGGCTGTGGGAAATCAGCTAGAGATGGGGATCTGCAGACAGCAGAACTCCTAAAATAGAGTGCCACTTGGTGTGAACACAGGTGATCCAGCCTCTCCAGGCTCAGCCTAAGATAGCTGCCAGTCCAGCAGGGTCATCTCCTCTAAGCCAAGCAAGAGAAGGTGGTCACAATATTTCCAACACCACTGACAGATCAGCATATGTAAGGAAAATGCTAGGACTTAGAGAATACCTACCAACTCCTGCAAATCCTCGCAACTTAGCCTGTGTATATTAAACACTTCTGCTGAAGAAGGTAAAGAGCTGGACGGATTAAATGTAACAGGCCCAAGGTCATGCAGCTGGTCAGTGGTGGAAGTAGAATCCAAGCCAAGACTTCTATCCTCTGTCCTGCTTTCTTGGGAGTTGAGAACTCCAACATGAAATCACTCTGTTCAGTTGAAAGCCAAGTCATTCCCACCAGTGGAAGGCAGAGTTCACACCCTCAGGGCCACAGGTCACCCAAAGTTAAACACAGGCTCTTGGTTATGCAGCTGCTCAGCAACTTCTCTCAGCTCTGTGCACAGAAAGTGATTGCTGCCTCTGCTTCTCCAGTGTGCTAGTGAAGCGACTCAGTGGCTGAGCAGACGCATGTTGTCACAGGACAATTACAGCAAGGCTCAAGCAGGAGGGCTTCCTGCTGGCCATGTGCAAACTTCATGCACACAGGGCAGAAGGGCAGAACGATGAAGGGTTCTGTTCCAGCACTTGATTTTCAGGACATCTCCTCAACCTGTACAGTTGAATCACCAGCTACCAGCATCTCCTGATGAGGAATCCTAAGGTGACACCTATGGTCCCACTGTCGGAGGCAAAATTCCCACTACAAACTACTCCAGTGAAAAGAGACATACTGGCTCAAGTGTGTACACATTTTTCCCACTTCAACTCTTCTTGCACAAAACAAGTTCATCTAGGTTCTAAGATGAGAGTCCTGCTTAGAAGGACGTATCCACTGGGAAACAACAGAATGAACAGCTGTCATCAAGAGACCCACACTGGAGCTCCACTTCTGTTACTAGTGTAAGACTGGAACTAAATCACTTAACTGATACTCAGTTTCTTCATCTGTGAAGTGGGATTAATAAAGCCTGCCATGGCTTGAATAACAGTTTGTGCTGCAACATATAGGAGCTAATATCTGTAAAAAGTATTTTGTGAACAGAAAATCACTTCTGTTATTGCAGAAACTTCTGTTTCAACGGTGTTTTGTGTTTTTGTCATGTGGAGTAGTCCACAGATCAGCAGTACTGGGCATCACCCAAGCTAGAAATAGAGAATTTCAGGTTGTACTACAGATCTGCTGAATAAGAACAAACATTTTAACAGGATCAGTAGGTTATTATGGGGCCTGAGGATGTAGCTCAGTGTCACAACCTGCCTTGCAAGCATGAAATCATGAGTTCGATCTCCAGTACCAAAAAAAACAAAAAAAAAGTTATTATGGATTGTCACTATTGTAAGAATTGCAACCTGGGTGTTGTGACAAACACCTGCACTTGCAGACCTCTGGAAGCTGAGGCATGAGGACCACAAGTTTGAGTCTTGCCTGGGCAACTTAGTGAGACCTGCTTCAGAAAATAAATGGGGATGAGGTGGTTTGGTGTACACCTGCAATTCCAGTTCTGAAGAGGCTCAGGCATGAGGATTGATGCAAGTTCAAGACCAGTCTGGACTACAAAATAAGCTCAAGGACAGCCTGAACTGCAGAGCAACACCCTGTCTCAAAAAAAAAAAAAAAAAAAAAAAAGGCACCTTCTAGGCCAGCTGGGCGTGGTGGCTCATCATATAATTCCAGTACTTGGGACACTGAGGCAGGAGGATCAGCCTGAGTTCAAGGCCAGCCTCACCTACACAGTAAGTCCAAGGTCAGTCTAAACTACAGAGTGAGGTCCTGTCTCCAAAAAAATCACCTCCTACAATTCATGACAAAACAACCATGAAGCCGGGTGTGGTGGCTCACTCCTGTAATCCCAGCACGAACGTTGCGAGTTCGAGACCATCCTGGGCTACAAAGTGAGCCAGCCTGAACTGTATAGGAGACCCCATCTCAAAAAAGATTAAAAAATTAAATTAAATTAAAAAAAAAAACCATGGATCCCAAATTGGGGATGGGAATAGGGACCAGCATCCTCTGATCTGCCTGCATCTGCATCTGCATCTGTATCTAGGTCATGCATCCTGGGCTGTTGAATATATGTTCAAGTTTATCCACCATTCCTACTGAATATATATTCCCTATGTGACATCCTTGGTGATGCCTCCGCTGACCCCTCCTTTAAGATAATCTCCCTCAGACTAGGTGAGAATCTCATCAAGCCTTTATTGGTCTTCCATAGGTACCCGCGGGATCACGCATCACCGACATCACGTGACAACCTCTCCACTCACTCCATGTGACAACCCCCTTTATGCATCGTCTGTCCTGGTCCCCGGTAGCTGAGACCGAGTCTTCAGATCTAACCCTCTCCACGCTTCGTCACTGTCAACGAATCTCACACTCCTGCACCAGGAACAGATGCTTCCCTGGACTGTCCTTCAATCCCTAAACTGCAGGGCGGGATCCCACGGCGCGGCAGCCCAGCACCACGAACACTACTACCTTCCGACAGGTCCCAGTCTCCTGAGACCGCGGCAGACAGACACCCCAATCCACGGCTCACCTTCTCAGACCCCGGAGGTTCTCCTGCGTCTGAGGCGCACTCCAAGTCCGGACTTCTAGGCTGCAGCCCAGGCTCGACCCTCCGTACCCAGCGAGTGGGGGCCTCCAGTCGCATCTTCCTCCATCTCGACTCTGCTCCCGGTGCTACCGGAACCGGAAACTGGGACGCTGTCATTACCGCCCCCTAGGAGGGCGGGAACAAGCAATGGATAACTCACCAATGGCGTTCTGAGCCTTCGCCCCTCCCCGGGAAGCGAAGTTGGACTGCTCTGACCCCTATTAGGAATGAGGCAGTCGCCAGTCACACTTTACTTTAGCTGTGCGCTCATTCCTGAAAGTGCGTACGTGTTCACCTTGGGCTCTTTCTAATTCGTGGAAACTGGAGGCTTTCCTTGACAATCCGCTTATAAATTGGGTCACTTTGTGTTTCAGGATTTGTTGAAATCTTGACATTAAAATTTTGTGTAACTTTTACTAGAGGGCCAAGTGAGGCAGGAACAACTAAAGTTAGATAAATAAAATAGGGGCTGGAGATTTAGTTCGGCGGAATAAGCGCCTGCCTTGCAAGCGCGCGATCGTGAGTTCTATCCCCGGTACCGATAAAAAAAAAAAAAAAAAAAAAGTAACATAACCCATAGTGAGGTTTGGTAACAAAAAAGGCAGAAATAGGAGACATCCTGGAGTCAGTGGAAAACGACATTAAGAATCACATCTAGCTCTGAGAATGGTTTGGTTTGTCTTGCTTTGGTGTGTGTGTGTGTGTGTGTGTGTGTGTGTGTGTGTGTGTGTGTGTGTGTGTGTTTAACACAGATCTCACTACATAGTCCAGGCTGGCCTTCAACTTATTAGGTTCAGATCAGGCTGGCTTCGATCCTTCTGCCTCAACTTCCTAAATGCTGGAATTACAGGTGTTCACCACCACACCTGCCCTATCTATAGAGTTTTGAAGTTTGTTTATTCTACCTGAATAACTACTTTTAAAATAACCCATTGTTACATTTGTAACCCATTGTTACATTTGAAGACACCCATTGTTAAATTCCTATCATCTTAAAAAAAAAATTCCTATCATCTTGTTTTTACATTCTGTATCACTCTGTTTTTGTTGTTGATGTTATCCATTGGCTTTTGTTGTTTTTTTATGTTTGATTGCTTTTTGACTTTTTCTGTGCTTTTTTCTTTAAAAACATTGTTGATTCTATACTTTCTTCCTTTTTTATTTCTTTTGATTTTGCTAACTTATAGCTAAGCTTTTCCTAAAAAGTGAATATAATGAGGTACCATGTGATGTTTAAATGCATTTATACATGTATAATGTTTAATGTTAACCATATCTATCTTTATCATTTCTTTATAAAGAAAATATTCAGAATCCTTGCTTGTAGCATTATGGAAAATGCAATATATAATTGTTATCTATAGTCATTGTATGTGCTAAAATATTAAAACTTCTCAATCCTAATTTTATACTTATTGGTCAAATTTTATCCCATCTCTCCTTGCCTTTGAAAGGTTCTTACCCTAGTATAAATTACTGCATAATTATGGCAGTGTTCTAACGTGGCGAAAGACCAAAGTGGGAACCGTACCACTTTCTCTTCCTTCTTCAGCCCTAATTGCTACTCCCCTTCCTGTTTGCACGCACAGAGAATTCCAATCAGTTCCTCACATGTCATCAGTATTCGCCCCATACGCCATGTCAGTCAAAGGTCATATAACACTCTGCCTCTCTGTATCTGGCTGAAGGAGACAGCCCAGCCGCCATGGCTTGTGTGCTGCTGCCCACGTCCTCAACTCAATAAACCTGTTCATTTTGTGCTTTTGCTTGTCTATTGCGCCAGAATACTCTAACAGCCCTCAGCTCCTCTTGGCCTCTGCTAACTATTCTACTTCTATTTGTTTGAAATAATTTTATATATTCTACAAATGAGTGGGAGTATATGGTATTTACCTTATAGTACTGGCCTTATTTCATTTCATGTAATGATTTCCATTTCCATTCATGACACCACAAAGAGAATTTCCTTTTTATGGCTGTGTAGTATACATTATATATATATGTGACATATTTGCTTTATCTATTCTTCAGTTGATGAACAATTTGGTTTTTCCTTTGTTGGTTTGGTTTGGTTTGGTTTGGTTTGGTTTCTGAGATAGGGTCTTGATTTGTAGTTCAGACTGGCCTTGAACTCACTGTGTATCCAAGACTGGCCTTGAATTTGCAGCAGTCCTCTTGCCTCAGAGTGGTGAGATTATAGGTGTGTGCTACCACACCCAGCTACTTTAGTTGTTTCTATTTCTTGATTTGTTGTTGTCTTTTTGTTTAAAACAGGATCTCAGTGTGTAGTTCAGGCTGGCCTTGAAGTCAGTATGTAGCTCAGGGTGTCCTTGAACTCATTGGCAATCTTCCTGCCTCAGCCTCCCAAATGCTGGGATTATAGGTGTGAACCACCACACCTTGTATTTCTGGGTTATTGAGAATAATGCTATAATAAGTATAGGAGTATGTATACTGATTTTACTTTTTTTTTTTTTTTTTGTCTTTTTGGGACAGAGTCTCAACTATGCAGTTCAGACTGACCTTGAACTCACTTTGTAACCCAGGTTGGCCTCCAGTTTTTAGTGATCCTCCTGCCTCAGCCTCCCAAGTGCTGAGATTACAAGTGTGTGCCACCACACCCAAGTGGTCATTTACTTTGTATACTCACCAAGTAGAAGAATGACTGGGTTATATGGTCAATCTACTTTTAAATTTTTGTGGAAATCCCATGTTGTTTTCCATAATGTCCATATCAACATTCCCAACAATGCTGTGTGAGGGTTCCCTTTTCTCTACATCTTTGTCAGCACTCATTACCTTTTGTCTTTTTAGTAGTAGCCAAAAAAATTAGGTGATATATCATTGTGGTATTAAGAAGTCCTATGACAGGCCATCTAGAAGCTGGAGGACTAGAATACTGGTAGTGTGGCTCAGACCAAATCCTAAAGCTTCAAGACAGGCACGGTGGCACATGCCTATGATTCCAGTGAGGTAGGATCACTGCAAGTTTGAGGCCAACCTGAGCTACCTAGAGATTCAAGACCAGCCTGAACTATATAGCAAGATCCTGCTCAAAAAGTAAAATGAAAAAAGCAACAAAATCAAATCCTGAATCTTCAGAACCAAAGACTAATAGTCCAAAGCCAAAGACCTCAGAACCTGGGGCTGCTAATGTAAGTCCTGGAGTTCCAAGGCTAGAGAGTCTAGTTTTGGTATCTAAGGAGAAAAAAGATACATATATTTATGTGCCTCTCTTCCACTCCATTTCTGGGGACTGGGTTAAATCCAGGAAGCTCAGTGCTAAATTTTGTTCCTTTTTCATTTTAAAATTTTATTCTAAAACAGCATCTTGCTAATGGCAGTTTGTTCTCAAACTTGCAGTCCCCTTGCCTCAGCCTCCTGAGCAGCTGGGACTACAGGTGTGTTCTCTACTTTTATTTATTTATTTTTTTGGTCTTTTTCATTTTTATCGGTACCAAGGATCAAACTCACGACTGCCTGCTCTGAGCTAAATCCCCAGCCCCTGTGTTCTCTACTTTTTTCTTTTGTCTGGTCCCCTGGCTAACTGGATGTTCCTTATATGTTGAGAGTGGATCTTCTCCATTTAGTTCGCCAGCTCACATAGATACATGCACACATGCAGACACACACCAGTTTCTTTACCAGCTCTCTAGGTATTCCTTAATCTGGTCCGTCTGACACCTGAATTAACCATCATGGGGAAATGATTCAAGGAGCCTGAGTCACTTGGTTAAAGATGCCAGGCTTGTCCTACCTTGTACAGCATGGAGCCCAGGGGAAAGCATGACTTTGGAGCTGTGTAGCTGGCAGTGTGAGATCCACAATGCTTTAAAATGGATTTTCCTCCTATTCCTTTTGTGACATTGGGTATTAAACCAAGCTGCAAAGCCCTTTTTTAATTTTTGAGACAGTGGCTCACAACAGCCCAGGTGAGACTTGAACTTGTGATCTTTCTGCCTCAGCTTCCTAGAGTACTGTGATCCCAGACTTGTGCCACCACATCTGGATGCCTTTATTATTAGTATTATTTTATTTACTTTAAGACAGGGTCTCACTAAATTGTCTGGGTTGGGCTCAGATTTGCCATGCTCAGCAATCCATTTATCCATTAGGTAAAAAAATTGAGGTGCAGACAGAACAGAGTGTATAAGTCTATTTTTTAAATAAGCCTTTCTCCTTTTATTTTATTTTGTTTTGGTACCAGGGATCAAACTCACGGTCACACGCTTACAAGGCAGGCGCTTACGCCGCTGAGCTAAATCCCCGGCCTGTATGAGTCTATTAACAGCACATGAAAGCCCAGTAGCCCCTTCCACTGCCACATGCTGCCCCACATCCCTCAGTCCGGAGTTCATTAGGACAACAAGAGGAAGCCAGGAACAGGGGCTTGGAAATGTGAAGGCTGTGGTAAAAGTGCATTGTGGGGTAGAAAGTGGAAAAGGAGCCAGTAGGAGAAAGAAATAACTAGAGGAGACAAACAGTTCTGATTGAAAAGCCACTGGAAATAGGTCCAGAAGAGCTATTTGAACATTTATGTTCACTATTATGCACAATAGCCAAAGATGGAAGCAACCCACATATCCACCAATTGATGAGTGGATAAAGAAAATCTGGTATAAATAAACAATGGAATGTTATTCAGCTTTAAAAAATAATAATAATACCCTGTTGAGACAGGCATGTTGGTACACACCTGTAATCCCAGCACACTGAGAGCCTGAGGTAGGAAGATCAGGAGTGCAGCCCAACCTAGGCAATCTAGAGAATTAATGAGACTGTCTCAAAATAAAAAATAAGAAAAGAGCTCAGGGCTGAGGAAGAAAAAAGAGACAGAGAGAATCTGTGGATGTCGCTCAATGTAAAGGCCCTAGGTTTAATCCCCAGTACTGAGGGGGTAGCAATAAGAAAATAAATCATATTGAAAGATACAACACAGGTGAACTTAGAGGACCATAAAAGGACAAGTATTGTGTAATTCCATTTATATGAGTTATGGAGAGCAGCTAAACTCGTCAAAACAGAAAGAATGGTAGTTTGCCAGGTCCTGGCAAGTGAGCAGGATGAGGGATTGCTGTTTAATGGATATGGAGTTTCAGTTTTGCAAGATGCAACACTTGTAGAGATCTGTCATACACCAGTGTGAATACAGTGAGCACCACTGACCTGTACACTGAAAAATGTCTAGGGGCAAATTCTGGGGTGTGTGTGTGTGTGTGTGTGTGTGTGTGTGTGTGTTACCATAACTTTAAAAAATTTAGAAGAACCCACAGTGAGAGAGTTGTGAGAAGAGAGTGCCTGAGTGTGAAGGCTATGCGAAGGTCAAGGCTGTACCTGGCAGGTAGAGACTTACAGAGTCACAGGAGCAGAGAGCAGACAGGGGGCAAGAAGTCCGAGCATGGGGGATAAAAGAGAACAGAGTAGCAGGTGGTGGGGACAGCCAGAATGGAGCTTTTCCGGTGGTGACAGGGCAGAGACCCCATGGTGGAAAGGGCTGGACTGAATGGACAGTTATAGGCAGGGCAGCTGTGTGTCTGGTTTTCACATAGTGGATACCTGAGCACAACTGTAGGTGGAAAACGGGATTAAAGATGAGGAAAACATTAAAGAGAGGTGGAGAAGAGTTGAGAGTCAGACAACTTACAGAACAAATTCCTGGCCAGACAGAGAGGATGCCCTGATTGAAGGCTGGACCATGCATTTGTGACAGGAGGTAGAGAAGGTAGTGGCGGCAGTGTGGGTGGAGCCTACCAGGTGGGATGTGGCCCGGCTGGGGGAGGCTTCACACTCTTCTTATAAATTCATCCACCAAGATTTGAAACTAACTGCTGCTGGTGCAGTGGGAGGAAGCGGGCGGAGGGTGGGGGTTTGAGCTGGAGTCACGAGAAGTGTGGGAGAGTTGGGGACAGCAACTGTGGGGGCCTTAGCAAGAGAGTTAGTGGCACATAAAGTGTGGCATGCCGTCTAGCAGATACAGAGGGAGACTGCCACAAGGAGGTGCTGGGGCTGGATCAGAGGCAGACAGGGGTTCCAGAGAGCACCTCCTCCCAGCCTATTCTCTTCTGGCTGGTGGATAGCCTTGGACTGCTTGCTCCCCTCACAGCATGGCTGTCCTCTGGGGGAGCATTCTGCTCCAATGGAAACATCAGCATTCATAAACTTTTGTCCTTTTAATAAAAAATAAATTTTCTTGACAAGCAGTTTTCAAACAGGGGAAAAGAGATAGGAGAGGTCAAGGGGCGTGCCAGGGTAAAGAGAACACCACCCCTGGCCATGTTAGTCAGAACAAAGGAAGCAGCCTGCCCCGACTGAAGCAAGAGGGGAGTTTGTCAGACTTCAGGAACAACTCCCTGGAGTCAGTAAGGAGAACAGGAGGTGTCAGTTCCCTGCAGGACCTAAAGACTCCTGGAACAGAGGTGTTTGTGTCCAAAGTAGCAGCTGCCTTCAAAGTGAGTTTCTAGGAGCATTGTCCCAGCTTATGGTTGTCTACTGCCCGGCTTCATTATTGTCGGGTCCTGCAACACCCAGGTTTTAGGGTCTTCCGGAGCAGGATATTTCTGGAGGGTTCCTGGGATGGCCAGAATGGAAGGACCCTCCCCAGGTCCTCATGCCACATCACAGATACAGGTCTGGGGGCACCCCACATCAGAGAGCCTCATGCTTGGTAGAAGGGGTTGCACTGGGGAGGGATGCTCCATGCAGGGCCTCACTGAGTGCTTCTGGTTGCACAGATGGCAGGAGAAGCTGCTGTCAGAGGTGGGAGTCTGCCCCCCTAGTCAGGGCTTCACAGCTTGGGGCACATAGCCGGCATGGCTAGGTGCACGTCCTACTCAAAAGCTCAGCCTGCATCCACAGTTTAAGCCGTATCGGTACCCAGGTGGTTATTATCAGCGTCCACATTAGTGGCAGAGGTCCGGCTTTCTTTTTGGGGCTCGAGGCATGGTTGCCTGCTCAAGGGGGCCTTATCCCCAGAGGGCAGGGTCCCACAGCCCTGGACCTTGCCCCGAGCCCGCAGCGCCCCCAGTGGGGCAGTGAGGAGGATGATGAGGGCTCCTGAGAGCACTAAGGCGAGAAGGATAGTGACCACAAGAAAGTGAGGCCAGTAGGATCGCTGGGCAGCCATGGCAGCCCCACCACCAACCCTGGTCAGTGGGACTTGCACACGCTCCCGGGGAATTCCTGCCAGTTCTGGATCCATGGCCAGGGGCTGGTCCTGGCTGTCTACCCAGTAGGAGACAACTGGGTATGAGAAGCCATTCTCAGTGGCTATGCACTGGTAGAGACCGCCAACTCCATCCTGTGGCAACAGCAAGAGGGAGCCATTGTAGACAGCAGAAGAGGCCTCTGGGATTTTCCCTGTGCCATGACTCCAGCGGTAAGAGGCCAGTGCTGACAGGTGAGGGCAGGGGAGTTCCAGGATGGAGTTGGGGACCACCAGGACTTCTTTAACTAGAGGACAAGGAAAGATAGTTAAGAGAAGGCAAGAAAGAAGATAGGGAAGAGAATGACTAACCTGCATTTGGACCTTAACTCTCGTCTCCAGCTTCCATTTCGACTCTCACACTCAATGCTCATCCCTCCTCTGTCTTCAGACTGAACCCCAACTATCCTCCAATGCGTCTAACTCCAACTTGGTATCAAAACCAACTTCTGGGGCTGGGGATTTAGCTCAGCGGCATAAGTACCTGCCTTGTAAGCAGGTGGTCTTGAGTTTGATCCCCGGTACCGATTAAAAAAAAAAAAACACCAACTTCTGCCTCACCCTAATCCTAGTTTAGCCTCCAGCTCAGAATTCCTTCTTCTCTGTGGCCAGGACCCAGATCCACCCCAACTCCGGGGTTCAGGTCTCTAGCAGACAGGTACTAGGGGAAGACATGGGAGCAGCAATGCCCACCCTTACCCAGAGGTCCTGCTCAAGTCCCACACTCACTGATTTGGGGACGGCTCTGAGGCCGATGGCTCCTGCCCATAGGCCCCTTGGCACATGCCCACTCTGGATTCCCTCGTTCCATGTCCTGCTTCCAGTGTTTCCTGAGGAGAGCAAAAATCATCCCTTGAAACAACACAGATGGGAAGAGCAGGAAGGGATAGAAACGCAGGGAGGAAGACAGTAAGTGAAGGAGACAAGCTGGACAGAGGAAGGGACTGGGGACCCAGGAGGGCTGCGCGCAGCCTCAGAACTGTCAGCCCAATGCCAAGCCAGGCGAAGCCCACCATGGGAGGGGTGGGTCTTGGAGTTAATGCATTAGAAGGCCCTGGGGAGAAAGGAGCAGCAGAAGCCAGGGAAAAAGGGTGCCAGCAGGTCTCCTCACCTGCTACTCAGGACTGGCACTTACAGGTTAGGGGTAGACAAAAGGCAGCAAACTCGAGATTCAGGGTTCCAGGCACAGTGGGGGTCCCGGGCAAGGACACAGTCGACACAGGTCTCATAGACACTACAGTTGGCTCGGGGCACCCTTTGGACACCTCCTGAGAAGCCTACGAACACTGCACCCTGGAGGAGAGATGAATGTAAAGAGGCTGCAGGACACCTCACACCCTTCCAGTCCCACCAGAAGACCAATGGACAATCAGTTCCTCTCCCACCTGGCTGGGGGCCAGCTGCAGATTGCGAACAGGTTCAGGGTCAGTGAACAGTTGGATCTCCTCCACCAGATAAGCACGGTTGTCCCGACTCACCACAGCCTTGTGCAGGGACCCAGTGGCTGTGGGGAAAGACAGCTGAGATCCCCCACCACCTCTGTGGCCCCTCACTGCATGGCCTCCCCACTGTGAGATGTTCCTTGTGCAGCACCGGTGCCCTGGGCAAAGACTGATTGCACCACGCCCTCCTCCCAGCACCCCTTCTTCTCTACCCCTTCCCAGTTGGAAGGAGGGAGCTCTACCCTCAGTGTCCCCAGCTCCCCTTTACCCACTCGCTCCTCCCTGACATGACTTAAAGTCCATATGGCTCTCCCTAAAACCACTGAACACTTCCCACCAAACCCCACAAAGCTGAAAGTGCTGGAAGGGCAGGGACTGGACTATCTTCCTCTCCTGATGCATTTTCAGAAACAAGCAAGGCACCAGGTAAACATTTGCTGAACAAATGAACAAATGTCTGATCTCAAAGGTTGCCCTCCTCAGCTGGGGTGCAGCCCCATGCTGGTCCTGTGCAGGACATCCTGCGGCCAGTTACTCACAGGTGCCCAGGTACATAACCACATGGCTGTGGCCATCAAGGTCCTGGGCTGTCTCCACCGCAAGCTGCGTATACTCCACACCAGACTTCACCAGCAGTGGTGTCTCCACCACCTGCCCATCCATCAGGAAATGGTCCTTCATGAAGGTCAAGACTTTATCGGAGGAGGGGCCCACCGAACACTGCAGAGGGAGGGAGGTGGCTCAGTTAATTCACCGCTTTCCCACAGTGCTGCCTCCTGCTTCTCTCCCCCCATGGCTGTTGTCCTTCTTTGCCTTCTTCTCCCATGAAAGGAGTTTCACAGCTCAGTATTCTGAGCTGTCTGGCTGCAAGTTCCAGTCCTGGCGCCTGAAGTTCCTCAGCTGTAAGGATAAAATGCACCAAAACACAGAAAGTAATCAGCGCATTGCTTGGCACACAGTAAGTACTGGATGTGTGATAGCTGTTGTTCCTGCCCATTTCCTCAGCACCTGTACCACAGCTACCTGGAAGCCAGAGGAAGCACAATGACAGCCCCTGTAGCCCAGGACTACATTTTGCTTTGTAGTCCCAGACCAAGCCGAGGTCTTGATGCACAGATGGTGCTCAGCAAACATCTGCTGATTCATCTGCTGAATGAAGGTGTCACAGGGAGGGGTGGTGAGGCACGGAGTGTTTCTCATCCTGGGAGAGCCCTTCCTCAATCCTGGGACTCCTTTTTCTCACTCAGAAATGAGGGGGTTGGGCCAGCTGCTCACCAAAGACGCTGCTGACACAAGCGTGCCATGGCTCTGGGATGCCTGTGTCCTTGTCATCGGGTTCAAGAGTGCCTTAGGAGGCCAGCTTCAACTCTGCCACTGATAAACTGCGTCTACAGACAAGTTACTTCCTCCCTCTAAGCTCCAACTTGCTTATCTATAAAGCAGTGTAAGACAACTACACCCCATTTTGATACCAGCAGGAACACACACACGTACTTCTGCCTCTTCCCAAAGGTGTTTCTTTTTAGAAGTGGAAAACAAAAGGGATGCACAAAACAGAGGAAAGGCAAGATAGTTCACATTTTGGAGCAGGGAAGCAAATGAACAAATAAGAAAAAATTCAGAGAAAAACCAGTCTTCTCAAACCAGCTCTGGGGGAAGCCCTAAAACCATCTGATTTACAGGGTAAATTCCTAAAATGCATGAATGCTGGCCCCACTATCCCTTGAAAGTCACACTGAAGGGAAAGCTACATAGAGAGGATCATTGCAGTCTTTTTATGCTCCAAGTTCCACATAGCTGTGTGACTACCCCTCCCATATCCTGCTCCAAGTCTGGAAGCTGATTCTCTGGGAAGGGTAAACAGAGAGTCTTAAGCAGGAGAGCAGACCCAGTGGCTGAAGACACCATCCCGAAGGCAGAAAGACTGAATACAGGTGGGTACACCATGTAATGAGACTCTCTCTATACCCAGCAGTCTTCCCCTGTGACTCCTGGGCAAGCAAAAGACAGAAGAGTCTGGCAAAGCAGACTAGAGGGCCAGGAGGAAAGACTTGGCTATCACCCTGATGGCCACCAGCCAACAGCCCAGCCAGATGATTTTCAGCGGGGCTACAATGGAGCCCAAATTACCAAGCTCTACTCCTGGGCACAGAGCTTCCAAACAGCCTCAGTGTTCCCTCCTCTTAAATGTGAGTAGATAAATGGGCATGATGGCACACACAGGTGATTCCCAGATACTTGGGAGGCTGAGGCAGGAGGATCATAAATTCAAGGCCAGCCTGGGTAATTTGGTGAGAGCACCATTTAAAAAAAAATCAGAATAACAATAATAAATAAAAAAGAAAGGATGGAAATGTAGCTCAGCACTCTCTGGGTTCAATTCCCAGAACTACAAATAAATCAATAGAGTAGGTTGCAAAGTACTACCAGATTTGTGGCCAGAACTATGAACATGAACTATGAACAAGAAAGAAACCAAAATAAATTCTTTTAAAAAAGAGAATAAAATCTAAGAGGAAATAAATTCAAAGAGAAGACTACTTCACAGAAAACCAGCATTACTATCTTGAGTAAGATCACTGAAGATAAAAAAAAAAAAAGATTACTGAAGATAGTGTACTTTTTTCTTTTGGTACCAGAGATCAAACTCATGACCTCGTGCTTGTCAGGCAAGCACTTACACTGCTGATGGCATACTTATGAAACAAAAACAGAAAGCTGTTCAAGAAGGGTTTCATATCACACAAAAAGGGCTCCAGATATCTCCTGTATTCAAAAGGAAGTATAAATTATCTCAGTGAAAGAGTGATCTCTCCCAATCAAATCTGAATATGATCAAGTCTCTAGATCTAACTGAGCAATTTAAAGAAATACTTAAATTATACCACAGCCCACTATTATGACATCTTAGGCAATCCCCTGAAAAAAGACAAGAGTCTAGTGAGGAAAAAAACAGGTTACATTCAAAGGACTAAGAGTTTGGCTCTGGGCGTCTCCATAGTAGCACTGTATGCTAGAATACAAAAGAAGAAGACTTTAAAGGAAAATTCTTTCTTTTTGCTTTTTATTTTTGTTCTTTTGTGTATCTGAAATCGAATGAGAAAATTATTTCTGTTATAGAAATATATATCTGGGCCAGGGATTTAGTTCAGCAGCATAAGTGCCTGCCTGGCAAATACGAGGTCATGAGTTGGATCCCCAGTACCAAAAAAGAAAAAAGGGAGAAAGAAATATATATCTGCCAAGCATGGTAGTTCACATTTGTAATATCATTTACTTGGAAAGCTTAGGCAGGAGAATCACAAGTTCTAAGCCAGCCTGGGCAGTTAGCAAGACTTTGTCTCAGAAATAAAATTTTAAAAGCTGGCAGATATGGCAAAGCACTTGCCTGGCTTGTGGGCGGCCCTGATTTCAATCTCCAGTACTGCCAAAAAATAAAAAAAAAGATTACATATATCTATCTAAACCATCAAATGTGAAAGCAGAATAAAGACATTTTCAGACATTCAAGTTCTCAGAAACTTTTACCTGCTATGTACTTTTTTTCCAGGAATTGATGAGATAGATAAAAAAAAATTAAGTAAAAAAAAAGGAAGCAAAAAACACCAAATGCGGTATTTCAGGAAACGCCAAGTGAATCCCCAGGAAAGGAGGAAGAGAGGTTCCAGGGTGGCACTGTGCTCCGGATATAGAGGCCACCAGGCTAGAGGGGGCAGAGATGAAGGGTTTCCAGGAAGATGAAACTGATAAAACAGCTCAAAGGTCTGTCTTCAGGAGATACTTAAGACAATTCAGGAACAATTTAGGTCAGAGTAGAGATAAAAAGTGTAGCAAACAAAACAAGTTTAAAAAAGAGAGAGAGAGACAATTACTAAGTTCAGGGAAAATAAAAATTATGCAAAAGGAAAAAGTAATTCTGGCTTACAGGCTGGCTTTCTGCTGTGAATAACACGGATCATAATATAAATATTATTTTAAACTACTGTAAAACTATACTAGGGGGCTGGAGGCGGGTGCAGGAGTGTGTTAGGTAGATCCTTGGTTGATGAGGGGAGGGTGTGGGGAGCCTACTTTGAGCTCACTCATTTCCAAGGTGTATATTTCCTCCACAGATGAATACCCTACCTCTGTCATGTCATGTTCTCTAAAAACCACTGGTGTGAATTTGCATAGAGATGTGCAAAAACAGGTCTTGTTAGGTGCTTCAAGTAGAGTCCAGCACACTACCAGGTGGGGCCTCCTGACCTTCCAAAATGGGAATTCAGTAGGTACTGTCTGGAGCTAATGTGTTAAGAAGAACATGGGACACAGGTCTGGGAGTGTAGCTCATTGGTAGAGTATTTGTCCAGCTTGGCAAGGCCCTTGTCCAGCTGGGGCCCAGTGTGAGCCCCAGCACTGCAACAACAGCAACAAAAGCATGGTATTTAGAGATTTGTACATGAATAAAGACTCCTCTAAAAAAGTTGAAGGTGCCCAGCATGGTGACACACATCTGTATTCCCAGCACTCTGGAGGCTTAGGCAGGACAACCACCACAAGTTTGAGCCAGTTTGAGCTTCGTGAGTTTTAATCTCTATAGCAAGACTCTGTCTCAACTAAACAAATAAATAAATTAAATTAAATAAATAAAAGAGTTAAAGGTGATTGGGAAAAGATGACGCTAGGGAGTAAGGTTGTTTTTTGTATTCAATCCTGCAAATCTATATAATTCTTTAAATCATGCCTATTCTCACCACACATTAAAAAAAAAAACAACTTAGGAATCAATCTAATCTAGAAGGTGGAAAATCTTTCCAATGCAAATTACAGAACACTAAAGAAGAAACCAAGAAGAAACTAGAAGGTAGAAAGATTTCCCATGTTCATGGGTGGGGAGAATTAATATTATTAAAGTGACCACGTTACCAAAAGTAACCTAACCTATAAATTCAATGCAATCCCCATCAAAATCCTGGTGAGATTCTTCACAGAACTAGAAGTAAAATTCATACAGACACACAAAAGACCTAGAAGAATCAAAGCAATTATAACCAAAAAGAGCAAGGTTGAAAGTACCACAATACCTGATTTCAAATTTCAAATTATAAACCCGGTGTGGTGGCACAAGTCTGTAATCCCAGCACTTGGGAGGCTGAGGCAAGGCAATCAATGCAAGTTTGAGACCAGCCTGGGCTACAAAGTGAGCCCAAGGCCAGCCTGAAGTGCATAGTGAAACTCTGTCTCAAAAAGACAAAAAAAAAAAAGGGGGGGGGGGCGGGGCTGGGGATTTAGCTCAGCAGCATAAATACCTGCCTTGCAAGCAGGTGGTCATGAGTTCACTCCCCGGTACCAATAAAAAGAAAAAAGAAAAAAAAATTTTTTTTCAAACTATACTACAAAGCCTAGTAGCAGAAACAGACATGAAGACCACTGGAACAGAATAGATGACACAGAAACAAACCTATGCAGCTATAGTCATCTGATTGTTTTTTTGAGATAGGGTCTCTCTATATAGCTCAGGCTGGCCTTAAATTTATGACAACCCTCCTGCCTCAGTCTCCCAAGTGCTGAGCCTACAGGCATACACCACCATACCCAGATGGAATCATCTGATTCTTTTTTTTAAATACTTATTTTATTGAGTTTTTTTGAATTTGATACATTTTCACTGTATTACAATTGAGCCATTAACCTTGCAGCTTCATCAATATTAACTGGTTCATTTTCAGGATGCTGCTGATTAGCCAGCTCTTTCTGCAGAGGTTCAAGAGTAAGCCTTTTTGAGAAGTATGCAAGTTCCTTCTGAATGTTTACAAAAGCATTATTCATTCTGTGAACCTTTTCATCATTCACAATGTTTATCTTCTTAAGATTAGAAGCAACTGGTTTTGCTTTACTTTTAGACTAAAAGTTTTCTTGGACTTCTGCCCTTTTAATTTATTCTTGGCCATTGTCTTTGATACCTGCGTGCAGCTACTCAAGCTCCAGGTGACACCACCTGCACACACACTGTCCAGCAAACCATCTGATCCTTACCAAAGGAGCCAAAAGCAAACACGCGAAAAAAGACAGCCTATTTAGCAAACGGTGCCAGGGAAACTGGACCTACATATGTGGAACACTGAAACTAGACCCCATCTGTCACTATGCACAAAAATCAACTCAAAATAAATCAAAGACGTAGGTACAAGATCTGAAACTTTGAAACTTATTGAAGAAACAAAAGGAAACACTTGACTAGGACTCTAGTAGCACAGAAAATAATTGCAAGGATCAACAAATACCACTATATGAAATTTTAAAATTTCTGCATATTAAAAGAAACAACCAAGAGTGAATGGGAGAAAAATCTTCACTAGCTTTTTTCTGGCAGAGGGTTAATATCTACAATGTATAATGACTCAAAAAAAAAAAAAAACCCACAAAAAAAATAGCCCAATCAATAAATCAATAATGGGGCTGGGGATTTAGTTCAGAGGAATAAGCGCCTGCCTTGTAAGTGTGTGGTCATGAGTTCAATCCCTGGTACCGACAAAAAAAAAAAAATTAATAATGACTCAAAAAAACCCAAAAAACCCCAATCAATAAATGGGCAAGTTAAATGAACACATACTTCTCAAAAGAAGTATAAAGAACCAGTAACTATACAGGAAAATGTTCAAAGTCTTTAGTAATTAAGGAAAAGAAAATCAAAATTACAGTGAGATTCCATCTCACCCCAGTTAGAATGGCTATTATCAACATGTGTGGAAGATGTGGAAAAATGGTACCCCTCTATACTACCGATGGAAATGTAAATTACTACCAACCACTACAGAAATCAGTATGGAAGTTCCCCAAAAAACTAAAACTAGAACTGCTATATAACCCTGCTATTCCATGCCTTGTTAAATACCCAAAGGACTTACAGTCAGCGTACGATAAGGACACCTGCATATCCATGTCAACTGAAGCACAATCCAAGTTCCTAGACAAAGAATCAGCTGAAGTGCCAATCAATGGGTGAATGGGTAAAGAAGATGTGTATACATACACAATGGAGTATTATTAAGCCATGAAAAAGAACATTTATAGGAATGTGGGTAGTGCTGAGATCTTGTTAAGGAAAATAAACCACACTCAAAAAAGACACATGTCCATTTATAAATGTCCCCCAAAATACAAATACCACATTTTCCCTAACATGTGGATATGATTAAAATATATATGATATATATATGAAAATGCCACATTTAAACCAGGCATGGTGGCTCACACCTGTAATCCCAGCACTTGGGAGGCTGAGGCAGGAGGATTGTTGTGCGTTTGAGACTAGCCTGGGCTACAAAGTGAGCTCAAGGCCAGTCTGAACTGCATAGCGAGACCCTGTCTCAAAAAAGACAAAAAAAAAAAAAAAAAAAAAAGAAAAAAGAAAAAAAAGAAAGAAAAGAAAATGCCACATTTAAACCCAATATTTTATAAAAGTAATACACAGTAATGAAAAAAAAATTATTTTAAAAGGTAGTAGGGGGCCAGGGATTTAGCTTAGTGGCATAAGCACCTGCCTGGAAAGTATGAGATCCTGAGTTCAACTGCCAGTACTACAATAAATAAATAAATTCTTAAATAAATAAATAAAAGTCAGGGGCTGGAGAACATAGCTCAGTGGCAGAGCTCTTGCCTAGTATGGTCATGGGTTCAATTCCCAGTACTGGGGAAAAAAATCAAAGTTAATAAGAAACACAGAAGAAGATGGAGTCACCCTTATCCGCTTATTTCCTCAGTGACATAGCCAGATATTCAATGCGCACTTAGTCCTGGATAGGAGGTACCCTCCAACCACTCAGGGATAGGACGACACTGTACACTTGTAGGACATGGGCAGCCAGGGGTGTGCCTGAGCAGACAGGATTGGTGAGATGGGAGCATCAGAAGTTCCCACCATTTACCATATGAGGACAGAAGCTTTTATATGCACATTATGCATGTTGTGAGGCCCTGGCTTTTATGGGGCTGATACTCACACTGCCTGGCCGGGGGTTGGTCTCGACGCCCCTGTAAGTAGTCCAGCGTGAAGTTTCTTTGTTCAATTCTTTGTATTTCCCCTTAAAGACATTCTCAATGTCTGAGAGAGAGAAGGCACAAACTGCTGAACTCCTGGTCCCACCAACCTGCCTGAAAACAGCCAGAGGGAACAGATTAGTTTCTTTTTGCCTTAGCAGTCAGCTGTCGGGCCAGCCCTTGCCTACCCGTAGTGAGAAAACCCAGGAGGGCAAGGGTGTCAGAGCTGGGTCAACCTCAGATGTCTCTTCTTCCCTTTGCCAGGGTGATAAAAGCTTGGAGAGGCCCATGGAGTTCTGTGACTCTGCCCAGGTCTTGGCTGTAGGCCCATCTTAGGATCTGCATTGTGATTATCCTTAATGAGAATTAATTGGGGCACAGGCCCTGGGGTGGCTCTCTTGTCCTTCCTAAGCTAGCATGCACCCTATGAGGGATAACACAACTGGCTCCAGGCGGGCTCCCCATGAAACACTTTTTTGGGCCCTCTCAAACTCACTACCTTTTTTTTGGTTTTTTTGGTCTTTTTTTGAGGCAACGTTTCATTATACGATTCAGACTGGCCTTGAACTCAACTTTATAGCCCAGGCTGGCCTCAAATTCACTGTGATCCTCCAGCCTCAGCCTCATGAGTACTTAAATCACAGGCATGTGCCACCACCTTGGGCTGACTTTTTTTCTTTTATAGCTTCAGTCCTGGTCTATGAAGATCTCTCTCTCTCTCTCTCTCTCTTTCTCTCACTCTCGCTCTAGCTCTTTAACCTAATTATATACACCAAGAACTCAGCTCTGGATCCCAATCAGCAAAAACATAAATATTGTAGGGCCAGACCACAGCTGTGGGACCTTGGACAAACCAGTTAACCATTTTCAACCTCTAAGCAAATGAAAATATTTTTCTCTAATGACAGTAATGGTGCTTCTCTCTTTACCCTGGCCATTTGGGAACTCAAAAGATAAAAGTGTAGTTCTCACCCAAGGACAACCATTTGAACAGGTGCTATCCTCAGCTTTCTGTGTTATTTTCATTCCCATTTCCTTATCTATGCTATCAATTTTAATGTTGGTCCTTTGTAAACTTCGTCCCATTCTTCTGGAATCAGACAGAATATAAACTAGTTGGAACCTGTCTGCGCGCTATTTTTCCCCCCTCCATGAAGGACATCAGTGAAATTGATGGGAGGTGGTGACTATCAAATGGTCTCCGGGTACAACGCAGTGTGTGTGTTTGCTCACATCAGTCCCTACTCCCTTCAAGAGCCAGGGCCACAGAGGCCTCAGATCCCGATTCCAGCCCGCGTTCACGCACTGCTGCTCACCACTGAGAGGTGAAGACTGCGTAGATGCGGGGACCAGTGGACGACCCGGCGGGCAGCAGGACCGCGTGGCGGATAATGTTGAAGGGTAGCTGGCCAGGCTGGGCGCAGAGCAACTGCGCCTTGAGGAAGGTGGTCCACTTCCTTTGCAGCAGCTTCTCTCCACCCACGTCGTTCTAGGGACGTACGAGGGGTCATCAGGAGCCCTGGTCCAGCACCTGCCCTCTCCCATTGGGTTTGCAGCGCTCAAACCCGCCCCTGCTGCCTTCTCACTGGCTCCCTCGAGGCTAACCCCGCCTCTCAATAAGCCTCGGACCTTGCAGACTTGAGCCACGCGGGAGGTGCGGAGCTTCTCGAAGAAGTCGAACTCGCTGGCAGTCTCCTCAAAAAAGAAGTAGACGACCTGGGTCGAGGGAATGGCGGCTACGAAGGAGGCGTCCGCTGCGGGGTAGGGCAGAAAGTTAGGGACCTGGATGCCCTGAGCATCCCTGTGAAAACCCTTGGATGGGTCTGGATACTGGGAGCCTGGCTGTGTGGGATATCACAGCTGGTGGAGGGTAATGATGGGGAGTCGAGAGGGCGCGTGCACGTACGTGTTAGTCTCCAGCGCCTGGCAGTGATTCACAGCGCCAGGTGGCCAGGACTCTGGAAGGGTTCAGCACCATGCAACGGGTGGCCAGGTTCTTACCGTGCAGCCAGGGGAGGAAAGTGTCCGTCTTGAGGACAGGCTGGGAGCCCAGTGTGCGCATCAGGATGGGCTCGCTGCCCAGAAAGTTGTTCATGGTGCCTGAGTAGAGCATCCCATCTAGAGAGGGGGAGAGGAGACAGAGGAGCTTAGCAGGTGGAGGCTGCCCTGGCTTCCTAGATCTGCCTGCCTGGAGTCAGCATCCATGGCAGTGTCTAGCCTCTTCATACCTCTGCAATTCCTGCCCAACTCCTCCACCCCCACCACACACTGTGTATCCTTAAGTCCCCCTGTCCACATGAAATGACCAATGTGGCCTTCTGTGTTTGTCACATGATGAGTTTAAAGCCCAGACTGAACTGAACTACAAAGGGAGACCCTATCTCAAAAAACAAAGGAGTGAACAAAAAAGCCAGCACACTACAGCAGATTTTCACACAGTCCATGTTGGTTGGACAAGCAACAGAACCTCAGGCTTGTTTTTTGCCTGAAGACCTTCCTGAACCCTAATGCCTCTGTCTTTCCACATTTCTCCTTCCACCTCCTCTGTGACCCTTTCAGTAGGAAGTAGTGGTTGAGATGTCTGGTATTCTCTTTGGTCTGTGCTCAAACCCTCCCATCCTTTAGGAAATGCTGTCCTGTTGTGTATTTTGCAGAGTGACTGGAGAAGGCAGATGCTGGCTAGACCAAGGAGCCTGATACTCACCCACCAAGACAGCAGTGTGATTGTGAGCAGGATCAAAAGGGCTCTGACCTTTCCCCTCCATCACCTTTTCCTCTAAGATGGGCAACAGGTAGGAATCTCGGAGTTCCTAGAGGGAGAAAAGAAGCTGGGGGGCCAGAACACCAGGGTCTCACATATGGGAAGTGAGGGGCATGAAGGAAGAAGAAAAAGGGACAAAGAGGGTCATTGGTCAGGGGCCCAGAGTTCATGAGGATTCTGAGGGTCCAGTTTTCCAGCGCACAGAGGATCAACTGGGAGAGGTACAAGCAGGGTTGCTTGGTACGTGAACGGGGTGGCAGATAACTCACAATGAAGGTGCAGGCAGGGCTGAAGGCGAAGGTGCCACAGGCGTAGAGATGGGTGGCATTGAAAGAGACCAGCACACGGATGAAGTTGAAGCACTGCGTCTGAGGGAGATAGAACTCGGGCTGTCCCCTCACTTCCAGGTGGAAAGAAGGGCAGGGCAGTGTTGAGGCTGCCAAACACTGTCCAGGCTGACTGCGCACAGAACCATGCTGCCCCGTCTGAGGCCACCTCATGATGGTCTCAGGGTGCCAGGTTCCTGCTCCAGGCCCTCACACCCCGCTCCTCCCTTTACCTCGTTGCTCTTCTTCTTTAAGGCACACTCACGCTTTTTTCTCTCACTGGCCGGCCAGGGTATCTGAAGTGGGGATTGAGAAGGTAGAGATGAAGGGAAAGGAGATGTTCTGTCCTTCTGTGACCTGCGGTCCCCTTCTCAGTTCACCAGTAAGTACAGTAGGACCATGCTTATGAGCAGTAACTTCACTTCGTGACTGGGTTGTTACTCTGATCACTCTAATATGCATTGGGTCACAGCTCCATGACAGACACACAGCCTAAGGAAATCAGACAGAACTGAGTTTATGTTTAGGTTCTGCCACTTACTGATTTAGCCATCTTGGTCAGTTAGTTTCATAGGCTGCTGGTGAGCACAACCAAAAGCATATGTAAACCCTAACACTTGGTTTTCATAGCAGCAATTATAAAACCACGTATTTCCTGGGGAAAATGTCAGTTTCTCTGTCACATCTTAAAGAGGCCACATTTAAAAAAAAAAAAAAAGTCTCAGGTATGATGGTGCATGCCTGTAGTTCCAGCACTCAGGAGGCTGAGGCAGGAGGATCATTGTGAGTTCAAGGCCAGCCTGAACTGCTTAGCAAAACCCTGTCTCAAAAAAACAAAAACAAAAAAAACTCACCTTGAGTTCACTATGCAGCCAAGCTGGCCTGAAACTTAAGGTGATCCTGCCTCAGCCTCCTGAATCCTGGGATTACAAGTGTGAGCTACCATACCAGCAGAGAGTCCACGTTTAACCAGTACTCCATATCAACAGACTCCATATTGAAAATAAACCATGGAACTGATCAGTAATTGCTATTACCTCCCTGCCTTCCTCTCCTCTCTCACATTGCTCCCTTTTGGACAGTGACAATGATGACAATAATACAGAAGCTTCAATGGTGGATATCAAATTATTGATATAATTTGAGTCACTGTTTATCTCATATGTCAATGATTTCCATGTCACCCTCTTAGCAGTTGATATTATTCAACCAGTGACACCACTGAGTAGTGATACCACAATCACATTTCTTGTGACAGACAAGACATACAGAACAAGAACTGATTATTGCCGATGGTAGATAAAAGTGTGTGGGGGGGATGTGTGTGGCATGGCACAGGGCAGCAGGCAGTCCCTCCTTGCTCCCAACTCCCACCCTGTATTTCCAGCCTCCTCACCATGTTCTTCAGCCTTGGGACTCCTGGGTCCTGGATAGCCAAGGCCAGAATAGCCTCTCGTGCTCCCACATACAGAGTGTTCCCGTCACCACTCAGGAGCAGAGTGTCGAAATCTCGGAGGCCGCTCTGCTGGAAGAAGCCAAGGGCCCTGCGTGGGTCCCCTGTTGGGAAGTGGAGAGAAAGAGTGGCAAGAAGCAGCTGGTTCTTGAGACAAAGACAGGGAAGGCAAGGATTGGCAGAACTGTTCCCCAGGCCTTGGCAGCTAAACCATTCTTGCTCACCAGCAGCCCCTTTCACTCCACCCTCCTGGCAGTCTCAAGAGCTCTGTGTTGAGCCACAGTGGAGAGGAGAGGCTGCCAGAGATGGAGTAATGGCAGCCTGGGGGTGGGGGCAGACCACAATGGATGCTATGTCAGGCCCGGGGGCTGGAGGGAGGCATTGGTCCCCTCATTGGGAGGGGGAACAGCAGGCAGGCAGGCAGGCTTACAGGAAGGTGTTCACAGCCACAGGCAGGAAACATAGATGCAGGGTTGAGGGCAAGGCCATTAGAATTTTCAGGGTCCCTGTTTCCACTTCTGCCACCCCCCCCCCACTTCCTTCCTCTCCTCTGTTACAGAAAATTTCCACCACTAGCAATATTGTGAATAGAAGGAAGTATTGTCATCCTTTCTGAGGTCTATGTGGCATGCTTGCGTGTCACCTGGGTAGAAGTGAGTGGATGGATGCAGGAGGTTCACATAGGTGCTGTCCCTCACTGAGGTGTGATGTGCACCTGACTGTGTGTTCATGCTGTCCCTCACCTAGGGGTACATGTGCACCTGAGTGTGTGTTCCCATCCTGCCCTACTGGTACATTAGCAAGGAGGACAAGTCAGACTCTCTCACTAGCACAGTCACACTTTGGTGGCAGGTAGAGGACTGACTGACTGTCCCCTTTGTAGGCTTAGGGAATCTCAGCCCAGGAATACAGAAGGGAAGACTTGGAAAGATCTTCCCCAGAAAGGGGAAAGAGCTAAAGGGAGCAGTGTCCATGGAGCCTGGACTCCCTCAGGATGTACACAGCCCTTAGTTACTGAACTGGCCACCCCAGCCTGTGCTTGTGTCAGGGATCATTCTGCTCCTCTCCCTCCTTGAGGCTTTGAGTTCCCAAAGAGCAGGGCTGGATCGGGTCCCTGTCTGTGCCCCCACTTCCCTGCACAAGAGGGCTCTCCGTCAATGGGTGATTGCATTTCCTCTACCAACTTGCTCCAGAAAGATGCTAAAAACACAAGTATGCCCAGGAGACCTACCCCTACCACTCCTGCAGGACCTATGTCCCTACTCCAAAGCCTGTTCCCTGGAGGTGAGAAGGCCACAGTCCTCCAGCCTCAGTAAGAGCCCTGCAGGCTGTGCTGCAGGGCTCCAGGGCCTACATGCCAGCTGGGCCATCCCAAGAGCTCATCTGGCTGGCCATGGCGTGGTCTGGTGTGGTCTCTGTGGTTGGCACAGGTCTGGCATGCCCTGGACCACCAGGTTTGTAGATGATCTGGTGTGGGGCTTGCCTTTGGGGGGATGTAAAAACAGTTGGGGTTTAAGGTACTTCACATGGTGACAGTGACAGTTAACAGAAAGAAAAATCCCCTACTTGGTGGAACTGCCTGGGATCCTTGGGTCCCTCTCTTCCTTCCCTTCTCTGTAGGTTTCTATTTCTAGCTTTCTCTTTCTCTACCACCTCTGTTGCCCCCTGGCATCATTCTGGGTGTCTTATTTCTCCGTGTCTATCTCCCCCTCGTTGTGTTCCCTCTCTGTCTTCTGTACTCCGTCCAGCTCTGCATCACCATCCCCACACTTCCTGACCATCACACACTTACCTGCATTGTATCTGACTCTGGGCACGGGCCCCTGCCCACCACCCCCAGCAGTCAGTGGCGGCAGCAGCAGCAAGAGCACTTGAAAGAAGAAAAGACCCAGGAGGTTCCAGGGGTCCAGGCCCAGGGCTGGGGGGGCCATGCTCAGCCAGAGGCTGTCACCAGATGGCTCTGAGGAAACAGGCACCAGGGGAACTTTATGGGTGAGCTGTCCTACCACATCCCCCCTGGGGACCAATCAGAGAGCCCCAGAGAGCAGAAGTGTGTGTGTGTGTGTGTGTGTGTGTGTGTGTGTGTGTGTGTGTGGCACCATAGCGGAGGGGAGAGGCTTTAGAAAGTCTCACTTCCATTCCACACAGTGACCTCAGTCTGTTGCCTGAGTTTCCCCTTTTTTTAGTACCAGGGATCAAACTTACAACCTCATGCCTGCCAGGCAGGCGCGTATGCTACTGAGCTAAATCAGTTTCCCTTTTTAATAGGGGCACAGGTGCTCCCCCTATCCTGCTCCTTCTGGTCTCTCTTCTCACCAACACCTCTGCTAAGCCATTCTCACCATAGTGTTGGGAAAGTCCTTTGTGCCGTCTTTATCTTTTCCGTCTTCCCAAAACCCAGAGACTAAAGCCTTGCCTGGCCGTAAGCCGAAGGCTGTCAGGTGAGCAAGATCCTGTACTCACAGAAATTTTTTGGACTGTACTCTCTCTTGTCCTTTCAAATCTGTTGACACCTTGCCTCCTACCCACTCCCGACCCAGGCAGGAACCCCAGGTGTGAGTGAGCCTGCTCCCATTCTCCCCACCACTACCACAGCCCCAAAGGGGGCTCACGTTTTTTTTTTTTAATCTCACCTGGGTTTCTTCTTCCAGAAAGTCCATGCAAGCCCACCCACCACTTGGCTATCAGCACTCCCAGGGGCAGCCTGGGTAGGGTAGCTGGCTGTCTCCCAGCCTCTGCAATGCCCGGTCTCCGTGCCGTGCCGTGTGCTGCCTCCCTGTGATCTGTGTCTCTCCTCCCAAGGCTGCCAGCCACAAACAACCCATCTCACCTCACATACTCTTGAGCCAGTTGTGAGAAACTCCAGCATCCAGAGTCTAGGGCAGGAGTGCCATCCAAGAGAAAGAAGGACAGAGTTCCTAGGCCCCAGAGGCAGGGGACAAATGCTTAGCCTGGCTGGAACGGGAGCACAGCCCCCCAGGCATCCATCATGCCAAAGCCAGCAAGCACCAGGAGCTCTGTGCCAGGGGAACCAGAATTTCCACCTCAAGTTGTAACAGATCCTGGTTTGGGCGGAAGTTGGTGGATTGGGAGGGGGAAAAGGGCTGGCCTGCCTGGCAGGAGACACACCTCTCTCCCTCCCAACTCTTGCTTCAGTCTGTACAGGGTTTAAAAGGTCTTTCTAGACCACTTCAGCCACCCCCTCCGTCTGGGCCACACGGCATCCCCAGTCTATCCAGCCTACCCCGTGGTTTCCTTTTGTGTGAAATTTTCCAGATAGGAGTCTTTTGTATTTCTCTTTTCACTTGCGTATCTAGTGGGGTCTCTCACTCCTACCTCCTGAGATGTTCCTACAGTACTTTAAACTTCAATTCCCACTTTTAGGATCTTTAAAAGATAGAACAGCTATATTAGGTTGTTAGCCATGACTTGACTGAGGAAGTGCCCCTCATAGTGTCATCCTGCCACCATCAGGGTGACATCAGGCAAGTGGGAAGCCCAGGAGATTTCTCATCTGAGTACATACTTCACAGGACATGTTTCTGAGGCACCAAGCCCTGTGACTGCTGCTAATGCTTCCCCATGGGGAGCTCACAGGGGCAGCCTCATAATGTGGGGTTAATGAGGCTCCAGGCCTGTGAAGTGGGACGCGTCTGCTCACTCAACCAGGTCAAGTGACAGCAGGTTAAGAAGCACACGTCCTAGGGCCAAGCCAATGCCAACAAATAACTCCCCTCCACCTCAGACTCACATTGCTCACCACAAATCAGGAAGTCCTTTCTGGAGTGTAACCTCTAGCCCTTCTGCGGCCATGTCAGCCATCGAGGGATGCTCCTTAAACTCCTTAGCCAAACCCACTCTTCAGTCTTCTCTCTTCCCCTCTGCTCCCAACATCTCTCAGTTCCCCAGGGCTGCTCTGGGACAGACCCCTTTTGTCAACTGTTGAGACTTGTACAAGACCCTCCAAACCTTCCCCAAGGCTAGTTGCCAGGTCCCTGCCACACTCTCAGAATCAATTCCCCTAAGCCTGCCTACAGCATCTTCCCAATCCCTGGCTCAGATTTGGGAAGCCACCTTGCCCAGGGCCTTTCTGTAGGAACCCGCTGGCTTATTTGGGTCAGAGGGAAGGGCTCTGATGGGGAAGTAAGGCAGGAGCTCCAGAAACACCTCCCTGTCCCTCACAGGTCCCACTTCTCTGCAGTACTAGGCCTGATGACTTGTCCCCTTCCTGCCATGAGACTCGGAATTCCCCTATCCTAGACCTTCTCTTCCCAACCCCTCCAGCCAAGCTAACTACTTGACAGGTTGGGCCACAGTATCACCAGGTAGGTGCCACCATGATCTCATTTCACAGAGAAGGAGAGAGTCTACTGAGCTAGAAGGCAAGTTAAATTCAGATCTGCCTCCTTCAAAAATGAATCTTTTTTTTTTTTTTTTTGTGGTCTTTTCCCCTTTTTATCGGTACCGGGCATCGAACTCACGACTGCCTGCTTGCAAGGCAGGCACTTATGCCGCTGAGCTAAATCCCCAGCCCCCCAAAAATGAATCTTTTCAAGCGCACAGTTGTGAGTTCAATCCCCAGTACAAAATGAATCCTTTGCCATAGTAGTCTCTCTGGAGCCCTCAGTACCATTTCCTGACCCGTAGGAAATTAGTTGGAGCCACTTGGTGGTGAAGGCTTATGGAGGTTGGGAGGGTAGCAAGCTCTCTCTTCTCCAGGCTAAGAAACATCTCTGGAGACAAGTTGGCAAGAATAGAGATCTCTCTAAAGGGAAGCCATCAGCTAGCATCTCCTCCCTCAGCAAGGGCCTCCCTTTTGGTGAAGTTCAGTAGGAGAGTCAGATGCGGGGGAGAGGAAGGGTATCCTGCCCCCCAGCAATACACTCTTGGCCTCAGGGCCTGAGTCTGATCCCAAGTCTCACAAGCAGCAGCTGTGGAACCCACTGGCAGGGCTGGTTTGGCAGGTGATGCCCTGCACTGTCACCAAGGCCCTGTCCTCAAAAGGGCCCATGCTCTGTGTCATGCTCTGCTCTTGCCATCTTGAAAGACTTAGTAATGTTTAGAGAAGGGCCCTGCATTTTCACTTTTCACTGCACCCCACAAATTATACAGCAGGTTCTACCCATCCAGAAAGCTCAGAGCTGGCAGGGCCCCGCCCCTTCCTCACTGTACAATGGGAAACCAAGGCTGGAGAGAGGAAGAACCCTGACTGGCCTGGAGACTGGTAGCAAGCCAGCAAGGTGGCAGTGGGGTCAGATGTCCAAGCACCAGGAACGAGGGCCATGCCATGTTCATGTCTGGGGTCCCCCAGCCTGTCTCTTCTCAAACCCTGAGCCCAGCCTGCTACAACACTGAGTTCAGCCTCTCACCTGCCAGGGTCCTCTCTCCTTGCCTCCTCCCCCACATGGAACTGCAGCCTTTCCTGCCAGGCTGGATGTGGGGGTGGAGGTGGGAGGAGAGATGAAGTCAGGGCTTCCCACCTTTCCCCAGCTACCTCAGAGCTCCATCATCCTGGCGTCTCCACCACCACTTGGGGGTCTCTGCAGAGCAGAGACATGTACCACTCCTGGCTTCACCAATGGCCAGGCGGGTGCAGTTCCCGCCTCCTCCTCCTCTTCCCAGCAAGAGAGCAGCCCTCAGAAAAGAGGAGTCCTGTTTTTTGGCTCCCCTTCCTTAGCCCCTCTTATTAATCACAAAAGAGTCAAATCAACTTACATGTGTGCAGTGTCTGCTGTGTACAGGTAAGGAGGAGTGTCCCCAGCATCCCCTGCCTCTTCCACCCCCACTGTCACCCACTCAGTCCAGTCCCTCCTGACCCTTACCCAATGCCTCCCAGGTCCCCTCCTCCAGGCTGCCCAGTGCTGGCGGCTGTGCCAAGAGCGCACACAATACCCAACCCCTTGGTCTGCCCCCTCCCAGGGGCAGAGCAGCGGCAACCAATGGCCCGCCCTCTCCCTTCAGAGCCTTCAGTCAGCTCTGCCTCTCCCTTACCTGGAGCTCGGGATGCCTCTGCGTTTCCCCCCTGGAATGTCAGGCGTTCTGGTTTCCCAGTGCCTTGTCCCTGCCACACCCCCACCCCCAGCTCCAACCCCATCCCACCTCACTGGTCCTTAGTCACCATGGCGACTGCATCTCTAAGTGGGAGGGACCAGAATCTCCCCATATTCTTCCTCCTCTTTCTGTGCCCCACTGTGTCCCACCTTCTGTGACTCCTAGAGCCACATGTGTAGGAACAGGGGACTCCAGATATGGGCACAAAGGGAGGAGACAGTATGGTAGCCCCCTTCCCGCCTGCAGGCATGCAGCACTGTGCAAATATTCCCCAGCTGGGTTTAGGGGGTCAAGTGGGGCCAATTCCTCTTCAGGACCATTTCTCTGGGAACTGTATCTGTGAGGGACAGACCTGGATGTCAGCCTGGCCCCATGTAAATGAGATTCATCATGAGGATGCAAATGAACACATGAATATCTATGCAAATGACCCTTGGGACAAAGTCTCTGTCAAGAAACCTGAGCAACCTATTCTGTTAATATTATCCTGACTTCTGCAAGAAGGGATCCACCATCTAGTCAGGTTCCACTTTCCTTCCTAAGACCCCTATTTGACGGGAAAGGCTGGTGTGGCATAAGAGGAGGAGTGGAGGGAAGACTTCAGAAAAAAACAAGCCCGAGCTGATCTGAGAGGTTTGGGTGGAAGCGTTAGCAGCTGGGTGTTGTGTCCCTCTCAATTGGATCCTAAGCAACCCTATTACCAGAGCTCTGCACTGTCCCCAGGGAGCCTCGGCTTCTTCACTGGTTAAATGAGGAATTGAAAAGCCCTTCTATGCTGCCCCCTCAACATGCAGCAGAACGGTGCAACAGGCACACGGGACCCAGGCACAGTGGCATTTTCCTGGAATCCCAATACTTGAGAGGCTGAAGTAGAAAGATCACAAGTTTGAGGCCAGTCTAGGAATTTGGCAAGACCTTGTCTTAAAATAAAATGCAAAAAGAACCGGGGATGTATCACAGTGGCAGAGTATCCCAAGTTCAATTACCAGGTATCATTAGAAAAGACAAGAAGCTAGGCATCGTGGCACATGCCTGTAATCCCAACCCTCAGGAGGGTGAGGCAGGAGGATTGCCTTGAGTTCAAGGCAAGCCTGGAATATACTGTGAGACCTTGTCTCAAAAAGAAAGGAAAGAGAGAGAGAGAGAAAGGAAGACTGAATTAAGGAAAGAGAGAGGGGAGAGAGAGGGAGGGAGGGAGGAGAGAGAGAAAGAGAGAGAATTAAAGAAAGAAGGAAAGAAAAAAGAAAAAGAAAAGAAGAAAAGGCACCATGGGACCAAGGAGTGGGAGTCGTGGGCCCCACGCCTGACTGCCATTAATTTCTGTACCATCCGGGACATAGCACTTGCCCTCTCAGATTCACAAAACTAAAAAATGACTTTTTGGCCCACCTAGGAGCAACTTGGGTCCTCTCCAGATTTACTAGTATTTTTAGGAAGAAGGAAGTGAATGTGCTGGAAGCTGCCAGGACAGAAGGTTTCACAGGCCATTCCGGTTCCCTTTTAGGTCCAGATTGGGGTGTTGGGTTAGCATGTAGGGAGGGGCAAGGAGAACATGTCATGGAAGCTGAGCTGACACTGAGTAGCAGCTCTCCCACTCCCTGGCTGCTTCTAAACACCCCAGCTTTCCACGCTGCCCCTCAGCAACTATGCCTGGACCCAGGGAGCACCTTCTGCTCAAGCTCCTCTTCCCAGGACAGCAGGGAAAGAAATTATTGCAGAAGAAGCATATCCACCATAGGATATGCTTGGGACCCTGTCTCCGTCTTCCTTTTTTAGGTGAAGTGGCCCAGGCTTGGTGGCCGAGAAGAAAAGGGTGACATTTCTGGAAAGATCTAAGGGAATGAGGGAGCCTAAAGCCTTCTCCAGCTTCACTCCATCCCAGGTTACCCAGCTGGACTTGAGGGTCGCCTCCTGGTCTTAGTATATGGAAGCCCAGCTTCCAGAAAGGAACCGAGCTGTCCTGGTGAGCGTGCAAAGTGTTAATCCTGGAGTGGCGGTGGCTGCAGTGGGAAGCTTGTTATGGCAGTCTGGACAGCAACTCTCCTGCCTGCAGTCCTCTGTAGTAGAGAGAGAGCCTTTCTACAACCTAATCGCCATTTCTCTTGTGGCAGTGCACACAATTCAGCTTTCTCTGCTTTGGCTAGCCTCAGTTTCCCCTGAAAAGATGGGGTGTTGGGTGATGTGTTTGATTGTGAGGGCATAGGGAAAATAAGATGGGAGAGTAGCTGGGCCCACTCCTACAGTTCCTGTACTGGGGAGGCTGAGGCAGGAAAATCATAATTTCAAGACCATCCTGGCCTACTTAGCAAGTGAGTGGGGTCCTGCCTCAAAATAAAGAATAAAAAACGGGTGGGGAAGTAGCACAGTGTGAAGGCCTTGCTTTCAATATCCAGTACACAGAAAGAAAA